TCTGAAAGGAAAGCTGCTTATATGTTGTTCCACCTTTTAGACAATTAAATCATCCTCAGCATTGTGTGTCAGGCTAACCCATATAAGTGGCAAACCTTGTTTAGAATGCACCTGAGGAATTTTTTCACCTCTAACTTGATTTCTCACCATATGAAGATGGATGGACAATTATGAGAGGCAAGCTTTCATACCCTCCAACATTTCTCTGATGAAAATAGGGGTGTCCTATTTAATAATAATAATAATAATAATAATAATAATAATAAGCAAACCTCAACCAGATCCAGGGCCTTTTCAACTTTTGAGCACTGGCTCCAGCCTGGTGGAACGCTCTGTCTCATGAGACCAGGGCCCTGCAGGATCTGATTTCCTTCCTCAGGGCCTGTAAGACAGAGTTGTTCTGCCTGGCCTTTGGCTTGGAGTCAATTTGATTCCCTCCCCCTCTTTCTTTTTTCCTTTCTCCTCCTGTGATGAGGCTGCATTTTAATGTTTTAATGTTGTATTTTAATCTTGTTTTTTAAGTTGTATTTCAATCAACTTATTTTTATTATTAGTTGTTAGCCACCCTGAGCCCGGCCTTGGCTGGGGAGGGCGGGGTATAAATAAAATTTATTATTAATATTAATATTAATAATTTATACCACACCCATCTGACTGGGTTGCCCCAGCCACTCTGGGTGGCTTCCAACATATATAAAAACACAATAAAATATTAAACATAAAAAACTGCCCTATACAGAGAACCTGCACAAGCGACACTGACACAAAACCCCACACATATATTAAGTAAAATAGAAACATCGCCACCCGACCCCACCCCCATTCGCCTTTCCCCCCTCCACCTCTTTCCCCCATTTCTTCCTAATGTAACACTAATGTCTCAGCAAATGAAACTGATCTGTAAAAATGTTACTTCGAATAGAAAAAAGAGAGAGAGACTGCTCATACTTTTATAAACCAATAATTTTTAAAAATAAAAATATGTTTTAAAAAAAACCCCAAACACTTCCCTATACAGGGCTGCTTCAGTAATCTTTGACCCTGAAATTTGGGATCCCCCCCCAAACTGGTGCCAAAGTTTTGTGCCATTTTGCAATGCGAACCCTGCATTTTGTGCCACTCTCCCCCAAACCAGGTAATTGACAGAACAAGTCAGGGTCACAAGTTAATGCAAGAAATCCAGCTTTGTCCAACTGACTCCAAACTGGTACCAAAGTTTTGTGCTAGTTTTTGTGCAGCAAACCCCAGGCTTTGTGCCCCCTCCCCCAAATGAGTAATAGACACTCAAACCGGGGTCACAAGTAAACGGCCAAAAGCCCAGTGAAGCTCTTTCAGATGCCTTCTAAAGGCTGTACAGTTACTTATCTCCTTGGCTGGGGAGTCACATAACTCCATACCCAGCCACCCACCCACCCCCAACATTTCTCCAATGAAAAAACAGGGACGTCCTAAGGAAAAGCAGGACATTCCGGGATCAAATCAGAAACCGGGACGGCTTCTGTAAATCCAGGACTGTCCCTGGAAAATAAGGACACTTGGAGACTCTGAGCTTTCCGTTTCTCGTAGAAACAATGCCAAATCAGCTTGTTGTAGGAAAAGAGAGAGGGAAAATCCCATTGCCTGACAAGCTGAGAAACAAAAAAAACAAACTCTCACCCCTGCAATGTAATAAAACAACATGACTGAGTTTATACATGGGTGGGGCCTGCATGAAAATAAAGTAAATTGGCAGTTCGTCTCAAAGGAATCGGCAGTAAAAAACGCAGAAGGTGTGTAGCTCCATTCATGTTCCGAGTTCTTGTTGTTGTTTAGTCGTTTAGTCGTGTCCGACTCTTCGTGACCCCATGGACCAGAGCACGCCAGGCACTTCTGTCTTCCACTGCCTCCCGCAGTTTGGTCAAACTCATGCTGGTAGCTTTGAGAACACTGTCCAACCATCTCATCCTCTGTCATCCCCTTCTCCTTGTGCCCTCCATCTTTCCCAACATCAGGGTCTTTTCCAGGGAGTCTTCTCTTCTCAGGAGGTGGCCAAAGTATTGGAGCCTCAGCTTCAGGATCTGTCCTTCCAGTGAGCACTCAGGGCTGATTTCCTTAAGAATGGATCGGTTTGATCTTCTTGCAGTCCATGGGACTCTCAAGAGTCTCCTCCAGCACCATAATTCAAAAGTATCTAAAGTGTGCCAAATGTGGCCGCTGCCTGGCATTCACAGGGAATCGTCAGAAGCATCTCCTTTCTTTGACACTAGATGTTGCTGTTGGGCTCAGGTGATTTTGGGTCCGTCCCACAAGAAGCAGTTTTACAGCAGGTGTGGATTGGCCAGGGCAGGTCTAACACTCTAGCTCTGACATTAGCCTCCATAAAAACTTAAATCCATCTTGAGGAAAGTCTTTTCTCAGTTGCCTGGGATTGGTATAACAAGTTGTAGACAGCAAAGGAAGAGAAATATATAGTGAAGGAATGGCTTTTCTTTGGAAAGAAATCCTGATGGAAACATTCCTGGGTACGTAATATTTCCAGCCTATGCTGAATATTTAAAAGCTCTGAGATAATAATTGTAAGCGGCTTTTTAATTATTGTTGTTTTAAAAGCATTTCTTAGTTCGATTTGACACTCCTCTCATTTGATTTCAGAGTTTAAAAGTGTTGCTATGTTGACAAATTGCTCTGCTGTTGTTTTTTAAAGGGAATATTTCCAGAGCAAATATCCTACGTTCCAGGTTAGGGGAAAAAACACATCTGCTTCGATTAATATTTTCAATCTAAATTGCTAATGAATAAGAATTGGAGAATTGGCTCTCCAAAAAAGTAGTAGTATAGTTGCTGCTGGATGAATGATTTCTTGTTTAGTGTAATTGAAAATTTACCTGTAAGACTGGGATCTCTAACTAGTGGTTGTGTGTTGCAGGAGGTGAAGGTTATAAAAGAATAGCAGTGTAAATTTGGAGACAAAGTCAGGCTCACAACTACACATAATGGCTCAGGGCTTATCCACACTTGTTGCAGGGGGTGAAGGTCTTTCTAAGCATTGTATTTAAAGCTCTGTGTTTCAGAGTAAGGTAAAGGTAAAGGGACCCCTGACCATCAGGTCCAGTCGTGGCTGACTCTGGGGTTGCGGCACTCATCTTGCTTTATTGGCTGAGGGAGCCGGCGTACAGCTTCCGGGTCATGTGGCCAGCATGACTAAGCTGCTTCTGGCGAACCAGAGCAGTGCATGGAAACGCCATTTACCTTTCCACCGGAGCAGTACCTATTTTTCTACTTGCACTTTGACGTGCTTTCGAACTGCTAGGTTGGCAGGAGCAGGGACCGAGCAACGGGAGCTCACCCCGTCGTGGGGATTCGAACCGCCGACCTTCTTATTGGCAAGACCTAGGCTCTGTGGTTTAACCCACAGCACCACCCGCATCCTGTGTTTCAGAGTACCCCCCTTTTTTTATTCAGAACTTGCCCCATGAAACCCCACTCTTTAAAGCTCAATCGGAGCACATGCGGAAAACGTTGATTTGACATTTGCTCTGATTCAGCTTTAAAGAGCAGGTATTCATGGGGAAAGCTCAGGGCAAAGAAACTAAAAAAGACAAAACCCACTCAGATATGGAGCATTCAAATATAGACCTCTGCCTGGAAAGAGCAGGGCAAAGGCTAAGCATGATGAGACTTTAGACGTAGCTGTTTAAACCCAGATCTGACCCAATCACATAATAAGTGAGCACAATTTTAAAAGCAAAAAGTGTATGTGGGTGAGGGATAAATTGACTTTGGGGCTTATATTCCTGGATAACTCTCCCTCCACTAGGCTCTCATTATATTATTGGAGACCATATGAGGTCTTTTATTGCCTTGGCAACATGTTGCAGCATACACCTACAGAAATAAAGTCTGGAAGGGCCCTAATTTTCTATATTACCTGGCAACACCTAGGTTTAAAAGATGAGTGTATCACCACCCTGTGTTCTCTAAGCATCTGACAAACAGGTGAGAATTTTCAGCTGAGTTAACTAAACAAGAAGCATCCATGAGCCACAATTGTTCTTTGGGATCGAATGCAGGATTTGTGATTGTGCAACCTGCTTTCAGGGTCTGCTTGCTTCCAGTATGGTCTGCCTGAATACATGCAAATGAAATAGCTATTACAAAGCACACACATACACCAAACATACATCTCCAGTGCTTGTCATACAAAATAAAACAAAACCTATAATGTTGCCCTTGTACTTCTCAGGAAACGTGGTAGCACTATATTTTTTTATGTTCCTATCATGTAACTCCCAGGGATACATTTATTTCTCAGTTCATAGCATGATTTGCTCTTGAGAATGATCAAGGTTAGATTGTCTTCCTATCAGTATGGGGTGGCTTTGTTTGCCTAGGCACAACCGAAGATTTTTTTTTCATATTGAGTGTTGTGAACTGTAATGGTGAATTATACTGCAATCCCATATACAATTACCTGAGTGTAGGTCCCAGTGAACTCAATGGGATCAGGAGAGGTGTATCTGTTAATTTCAGTTTTTCACAGTATCTTATTTTTCCAATATTAATCGCAGCTCTCCATGTCTGTTTGAGATTTTTTTAGTCCTAACGAAAATTCATCTGCATCCTTGTGCAAATTTCTCCTAATACAGTGGTACCTTGGTTCTCAAATGGCTTGGCTCCCGAACAAATTGGCTCCTGAATGCTGCAAACCTGTAAGTAAGGGTTCCGGTTTGCAAACTTTTTTTTGGAAGCTGAACGTCTGACACGGTTTCCACTTGAGTGCAGGAAGCTCCTGCAGCCAATCGGAAGCAGCGCCTTGGTTTTCAAACGGTTTTGGGAGTTGAATGGACTCCCAGAATGGATTAAGTTCAAGAACCAAGGTACCACTGTACAGACATTTTTGCAAAGAATTTTCCCATTATACAGTGCATTTGTGTTGAATGCTTGTTACCTTAGATGCTCTGAGGAGTAAATCCTATTGAATTCAGGTAAATGAGATTAGGATTTTAGCCTAAAGCTTCAAACTCAGGTTTTGGATAGCTCAGTTGGTTAGAGCATGGTGCTGATATAATGCCTTGGTGGCTGGTTTGACCCCTGCATTACAGAGGGTTAAAATAGATGATCCTTGGGGTCCTTTTCCAACTCTACAATTCCAGGATTCTATGACATATAATCACATTTCTTATGGAGAATGTGTTCTAATGATTTTGGGTTCCAATACAGGGACATGATCTATTGAGTGAAGGCTCGTTTTTCCTCAGTCTTGGGTGGGCATGGTTTAAAATGTCTGTCAATGGATGCCATGATCCTTGAATGCCAATGAATGTCAGCTCCTTGCATGTCCAGCGGAAGACGGAGAGTCAAAGAAGTCTTTCATTCCCTCTCTTCCGTGAAGTAGTTAAGCACTTGGACTACCAAAACTTTCTGCCAGGCTTAGTGTCTTTTTCTGAGTCAGGTGCCAGGACAATGCAGCTTCTGAAGCCAACGGAGATTGCCTGCTTTGGCCTCATGTCAAAATCATCTCCTTCAAGGACCCTCGCGGGACAGCTGCTCAAGTTACACCTGTGTGTAAGATTTCAGAGACACCCAGACAGATTTTAAAATTACTTCTTAAGTTCAGAGCTTCAGTTTTAAAAATGAATATTCACCCTCTTTTGAGCAATGAGTCGACAACTCAGTATCAGCAAAGCACAATAGCTCATGGCTGCATTTAATGTAGGAATTGCTGTTAGGCCCCAACTGGGAAGGTGGTAGATATGAGCTGAAGAACATAGTTTAGGAGGGTGATATCATGATTGTGAATCTTTCCCCCGCAATGAATGTCTACCATGATCCTTTTGAAATAGCCAAGGGTTGTCTATCAGCAGACTGCTGCTGTCATTCATGTGCCCACTCACCCTTATTTCAACAAACGGTATCACAATAAACTTTTAACGCAAAGAAAAGTGATGGATTTATTATTTCTGTGACTGATTAACTTATGCAGAATAGAGACTGGAGAAACTCTCCCACTGCTATGAAAGGCCAATACACCACCAGCAGAAAGAAACAATAGGTTTGTAATTTAATGTAGCTTTCAGGTTTGGTACCCAAATAATATTGTTGCATGCCACCCCAATATCCAAGGGGTGGAAGATTCCAGGGGTTCCAGGCACTTACCCAGGGTCTGTGTTTCCTTTTGGAATGAGACTGTGGTGTCTGTATGATATATGGTTTATTTACACATATATACAACCCAAACCTGTTGGGACGCGGGTGGTGCTGTGGGTTAAACCACAGAGCCTAGGACTTGCCGATCAGAAGGTCGGCAGTTTGAATCCCCGCGACTGGGTGAGCTCCTGTTGTTTGGTCCTTGCTCCTGCCAACCTGGCAGTTCGAAAGCATGTCAAAATGCAAATAGATAAATAGGTACTGGTCCGGTGGGAAGGTAAATGGTGTTTCCGTGCGCTGCTCTGGTTCGCCAGAAGCGGCTTAGTCATGCTGGCCACATGACCCGAAAGCTGTACGCAGGCTCCCTCGGCCAACAAAGCGAGATGAGCACTGCAATCGGCCACGACTGGACCTAATGGTCAGGGGTCCCTTTACCTTTACAACCCGAACCTACGATGGAGGGGTTCACAGCATTAACATCCTAAAAGGGTCTTGTTTCTCCCCTAGCCACAACCTTGGATTTAGGCAGAAATCAGCCATGACTCTCTCTAGCTTGCTGCTTTTTTCTAAATCACATCATTGCAAAACTCTAATCTTAACCCTGCTTCATTTTTCTAATTTACTGTGAGCTGGTGGAGGGGGGCTCACCCACTTCCCCTCTCGCAAAGAACCCCTTTCCTTTGTTTCCCTTAATGGCTCATTACCCAGGCTATCACCTCAACACAGGAAGCTAACCTGGCTTATATTTTAACATTTGCTGGAACCAGGGTTAGAAGGCTCTCCCACAAACTCATAACAGTATTTAGAAAATCAGATAAATTTCACTCTGCAATTTTCTCCTTTCTTTCAGGTTATGCTTCCTGGTCTCTTTATCATGCCCTTCCACCAATGATCTATTTTTTCCCTTTACAAACATTGGAACTTACTGGCTTAGAGGTTTTTGCTCTTGCTTTCCTCTCTCCGATGTTTCTGATGATTGGTCCACTCTGGAGGTTGGCCAACAAGAAGCACATTCTAGCCTTGCTAAGGCTAAGCATGATTGGTAAGTCCACTTTTGTAATTCTAAAGTTTCTTCAAAAAGCTTGGCAACAACAAGGTGTCAGGCCGAACTTTTCAAACCATATTAGCATTTAAATGGCAAGATGGGCAATTATTTCATATAGACATCCAAATTCACGGTTTATGTCTTTCAAGGAGGATTAGCTGAATTCCTGGAAGTAAAGCTATCAATGACTACAGTGGTACCTTGGGTTACATACGCTTCAGGTTACAGACGCTTCAGGTTACAGACTCTGCTAACCCAGAAATAGTGCTTCAGGTTAAGAACTTTGCTTCAGGATGAGAACAGAAATCATGCTCCGGCGGCGCAGCAGCAGCAGGAGACCCCATTAGCTAAAGTGGTGCTTCAGGTTAAGAACAGTTTCAGGTTAAGTACAGACCTCCGGAACGAATTAAGTACTTAACCCGAGGTACCACTGTACTGTACATTTGCAGTCTTAACCAGGGTTAAGGCAATAAACCATGGTTAGTGCTAACCATGGATACTGCAAGAGGGGAGAGTTGTACCCACGTCCTGCTAAGAAGCTTCCCAAAGGTTTCTGGCTGCACAGGCAGATTCAGGGAAGTGTAACCGGTTCAGTCACACTGGGCGTGGAGCATTGGGAGCACCCCAGGGGTGCGGGTGCTGCAACTATGATGTAGAATGGAAGCCCTCCAAATTTTGGTGCCACACAGGGCACCACTGAAATTTGAGACCCAAGGTCCATTGCTGCTGGCTGGTTGCTGGACTAGATGAGCCACTGGCCTCATTCTGCAGGCTCTCCTTAGGTTCTTCATCAGTCACTATTGCCACCACTAAAACACAACTGAGATCTGAGCGGTTGCTAGCATTATGCCAAGGAAAGAACAGTAGAAACTGCAGGAAAGAGAATGTTGTTGTTTAGTCATTTAGTCATGTCCGACTCTTCGTGACCCCATGGACCAGAGCACGCCAGGCACTCCTGACTTCCACTGCCTCCCGCAGTTTGGTCAAACTCATGCTGGTAGCTTTGAGAACACTGTCCAGCCATCTCATCCTCTGTCGTCCCCTTCTCCTTGTGCCCTCCATCTTTCCCAACATCAGGGTCTTTTCCAGGAAGTCTTCTCTTCTCATGAGGTGGCCAAAGTATTGGAGCCTCAGCTTCAGGATCTGTCTTTCCAGTGAGCACTCAGGGCTGATTTCCTTAAGAATGGATCGGTTTGATCTTCTTGCAGTCCATGGGACTCTCAAGAGTCTCCTCCAACACCAGAATTCAAAAGCATCAATTCTTCGGCGATCAGCCTTCTAGGAAAGAGAATAGAGACAGTTAAAATTCAGCACATTCACTAAGGCATTCCACAGCTACCGGTGGGACTACTTTCAAGTATCAGGGTTTACCCTACTTTCATGTTTCAGGGTGTGGGCCTGCGGAATAAATCTTACTGACAAACATGGGACCAGGCCAGTGTATCTATTGATTTAACACCTTTCTATTCTGCCTCCCCATCATAAAGCTGCAATTGCCTTGTTTGGAATACAAATCATTCTCAGCTATGTTAAGAATGGAGTGCCATTTCTTCTAAAGATTCTCCTTAAACTTGGAACGTAATATTAGATTATGCAAATGTAGTGTCAGTGTTCACATAGCTAGTTGCTTTTAGGCGTATGAACAAAAGTCATTTCATATGAACTTTTAATATCCCAGTGAAACACTAACTCTTTTCTGTGTTCAGATCACCTGATCAGTTGGGCCAACTCACATTACTCTTTCTAGCAAAAAATAAAACCACGTCATTGCTCTTCTTCTAAGCAAGTGTCTCCCAACTTACACAGGGGTTACATTCTTGGCTACTGTGTGTATACGTGAAATCACGTAGAGTGGGGAACACCATCTAAAAAGTCTGTAAACACTCTCTAAACCTCTGGAAACCCTTTAAAAAAGCCAGCAGTGCCTACCAGACTGGCATGAATGGTCACAATGGTGGCTCTCAGTTTTCCTCATCGCTGGAGGACAATGTGGAAACGACGAAAAGGAGAGTAGACCGGTACCCCAAAGTGCCTGGCTGTGATTCAGAGGTAGACAGGACCCTGAAGGAGTGGCAGACCTACATTTCAGGGGCTCTGAAGCTCAAATTGTCATGGCCCCCCCTTCACAACCAGCAATGAGGTCTGGGTAACCACTGTTATCTTCTGCAATGGGGTTGTTCCATGACAGATCAGCACACCTTTACAACTTCATTGCTACTGTCTCTCAAACTTCGGGATGGTTGAAATATATAAAACAAAACATTAATCAATTTGTGTCAGGCGACTCATAAGGGATCTCCTAGAGTAGACCCAACATTTTAAAGCAATGTGAACTAAAGTCGCTTCAGGATTAGGAGTCCTGAAGTTTAAGCTTCATCAGTTTTATAGTAGATCCGCTCCTGCCCTGAAGTGCTTGGCTGTGGGTCAGATTTCACTTGCTGATGGTGCTCGTGCCATTTTTGCAGTTTCCCTGCTCTTTTCAGGACGTTTTTTGCTCCTTTCACGCCTTTTTGCAATATAAATTGTTTTATTTAATTATTTCCTGTCACCGCACATGTGGGGAGACACCTGTATCTAAAATTCTCTTATCTTCTTTAATAGGAATATGCACATACACCTGCCAGGGGAGCTCTCTCAGACAACAGAGAAACTTTCCCCCGACAGCATGCTGAGAAACTTTGTCCTTACTGGATTGGTTCTGAATTGAGTCAAGAGAAATTTGATAACTGCTTATTTAGGAATTTACCCTCTCCCAGATTCACTAGTTTTCTACATGCAATTATTTCATATATATATATATATATATATGGACTCTACTGCATGAGTTTGCTAAACATGGCCCTCAGCTCTTAGAGAATAGGACAATGAACAGGTCTTTATTCAAGCTGAGGTGGAGCAGCCAATAGAATTATCAACCAACAACACTGTAACAACTGGATTCTGTGGGGGTTTACTGCTTTTGAGAAAGCATGCAAAGGATCAGGCAATAAAATTATTAAGGGGGAGGTGAGAATTACCTTTATTTGTTTAGGGCATCATCTAAGAACCTCTACGTTCACTGATTTCAAAGGGGGAGACAGTTTTATACTTTACTCTCCCATTGGAACAAATGGGTGTTAATAGTGCTCAACTGTAGCTATATTATACAATTTTTATTTTTATTTTTTAATGTGTTTCTCTTGACAGGGAGCATTCTTTCATACCAAGCTCCAAATGCTTACCTTCGACTCTTGATCCTGGCCATGGGCGTTTCTTCATCGTTGGTAGTTCAAACCGTAACATGGTGGTCTGGCAATTCTTTACAAAGGTATTGTGAAAGAGGGCGCAGATCTTGCATTATAAGTAGCAAGCTATCTTCTTTGACAGTAATCGAAAACAGTGAAAAAGCTTTAATCTTAAAGCAGATTTCTACTTAATACTACAGCTATTTTAGCTTATTTGTTTGTGCATTCCTTAAAAATATATATGTTTAAATGTTCTGCTTTTACAGATACTGCAGAATCTGGGGATTTATACTAGGAAAAATTGTTCTTCTTGTTCTTCGGATTTGCTATACATCGTTAAACCCAGTATGGAACTGTACAACTGCCAATGTTACTATAACCGTCCTAGGCTTTGTAGCAGCACTTGAGCGAACATATACAGGTGACAATTCAAAATGAAGCCATTCCTTTCTTTGTATATCCTCAGCAGAATTTTGAGGGTGGTATGTGGGGGAAAACATGACCATCAATATGAGCTACGACTGAGTGAGTGGGTGAATGGTAATCCTAATTTATCTCCCTGTCCAACCCCATCTTTAATTCCCCTTGCCTCTGTTTCATTTTCCTCTCTGTTCCTCAGGACTTTTGCCTTCCTCCGCTGTCTCACGGGCACCCTAACCTCCAACTTCCTCTATTATCAGGCCTGGCATCAGGAGGAAGCATCCTCAAGCAATTGCTGGGGACTTGGTGCTCCCGAAGGGATCACCCCTGATACCTGCCGCGATTCCTCCCATCACCATCACTCCTTCTTCTTTATTCTTTGGCGATTCCTCGTAGCCGGGTAAGATTGTCTTCCATGAACACGATCTTAAGAGTGAGTCTGTAAGTGACTGTGGAGGCCAATTATGGATTTACACATCCTTCTACCTTGGGAACATAGGTTTCTGGTGGGAGTTGATCACAGTGAGGGTTTGCCAAGTGTGCCTTCCTCTTAGCACGTTTCTCCCTTTCATCCTGAATTTGAGTGTCTTCAAAGTCCATGACACCTTTGGTAAAGGCTGTTCTCCAATTGGAGCGCTCGCAGGCCAGTGTTTCCCAGTTGTCGGTGTTTATACTATTAGAATTGCCATTAGAGAGTCTTTAAACCTCTTTTGTTGACCAACAACATTACGCTTTCCATTTTTAAGTTCGGAATAGAGTAGTTGCTTTGGAAGACTATAATTGGGCATCCACACATGACCAGTCCAATGCAGTTGATGTTGAAGAATAATTGCTTTGACACTGGGGATCTTTGCTTCTTCCAGTACCCTGGCATTAGTTCGCTGGTCTTCCCAAGTGGTGTGTAAAAATTTTCAGAGACACTGTTGATGGAATCTTTCCAGGAGTTGGAGATGGCGTTTATAAGTCGTCCGTGTTTCACAAGCATGCAGTAGGGTTGGTAGTACAATAGCTTTGTAAACAAGCATTTTGGTTTTCCACCATCACTCCAGGGCATTGTGGGAAATTAAAACGGCCATCACCAGTGGGGGTTTGGAGTCTGGCAGTGCTCAATAGACTGCTGTTGCCTGGTAAACTCATCAGATAAGGGCTCGTCAGTGAACACTTGGCTGAGGGACTCCCACATATAACAAGCCGGACCTGATTCTCATTGAACCATACCTGGTTCCTAGAGCTATGTTAGTGAGATGCCCACTAAATACAGAGAATGTGTGTGGAACCGCAAGGTCTTCATTCCCCCCTGTGCTGTCACTCAGTTCTGTTTCTAGAGAGTAGCTCTGCTGATTCTCTATGTGCATCCTAAGTCTTGACTCCTTGATTCCAGACCTGTTAAACATGGCGGTCTTTGTGGGGCAGACCTATTATTGATCCCTGATTGACTCACCCTGTCGAAGAAAGTGATTAGGTTCTCATATCTGTGTAGCACCATAACCTCTGGCGTAGGGCAGGCGCCATAAGCAAGAACCCAGTCACTCGTAGTGTATAAGACCATGAATAGCCACTGGCACATGAGGTTTAGCATAACTGAATCCAGTGGTGTGCAGTCAGTGGACTAGGGTTAAATGTTTCCAGTAAATTAGAGTATTAAAGTGTTAAAGACTAGTTACTCCTTCCCAAAGCCAGGAAGCTTCTGTCGGCTTAGGGAGGGAGGCACAATGTACCCGTGCATGGCATTGGGACACCGCAATGTTGCACACATGCCCCCCCCTTGCTCTCACAAGCTGGTGCCTCTGGCACTAACTTGTTCCCCTATGGAAAAATTCACTGCACACCACTGACTGAATCACACAGAATTGTGCAACACATAATAAGTTTGAGAGGATATGAGTGAGGACCACTAGTGTTGTGTTTTAAAATTATGCTGGCTATTATGCTAGTACAATTGTATGGCCAGGATCCAAAGAGCTATGAGTTGTATTTTCCAGCCTCCCTTCCTTTGTAGTCCATGGCACCTACTCCCAAAAGCTGCTATTTATGGCAGGGGACCTTCAGAGTAGACTGCAGTGCACTGTGGGAGGAGAGGAAATCAACTAGCCCACTGTGCATGTGCAGAAGTATTTTGTGTTTGTGTTGTATGGGGTTCTTTGAATCCCGAACTATGCCATGGGCCCAGTAGAAATTCTCTTAGAATATGATCCTTCCTGGGCATTCTAGTCAAGAAGTAAGGTCCATTAAAATAAAAGGCTATGGATCACGCTTCCAAGAAGTAAACCTTTTAAATTCAGTAGGACTTACAAGGCAATCTTAACTGTGTCTTTTGTGTTATGTGTGAAAATCTTCTTAGAAATTTCTGAACACTTATGACTTTGTACACTTGGGTGGAATCTACACACATATAAAAAAAATGCTTTGAAAACGCTGTTTTAAAAAAGGTTTGAAAAATATATTGAATTTTGCATAGCTCACTGTCGCCATCTAGAGTCGCATTTGTATATTGCACTTTACAACACTTTTAAAACATTTTATTTGCAGCTGTGTAGCTGAGTCCTTGATTTGCTGAATTGATGTTTTCCACTTTTTTAAGGTACTAAAAGCCAAAAACAAGAAGCAAACAAGATTGGAAACGCAGCAAAGGAAACAATTCATGGTTCCAACTGGTTTTTGTCAGGGACAGCTTTTGGCAGCCTAATGTTCCTCACCTTCTGGATTTTTGGAGAGGTCTCTCTAGTTTCTAGATGGGCAGTGAGTGGACACCCACAACCTGGGCCAGATCCTAATCCACATGGGTAAAGTGTGTGCTCTCCTAGTATTTTATTAAGCAAGTTAAAAATATCAAATCCCAAACAGGTGGAGCTTGGAGGGCATGAAATCCTGGTAACAACAACAACTTCTAAAGCAACCCTGGACAGTAATCAAATTGCACCTCCTTCCTGCTCCACCCTTGCTATAAAGTCGGGCACTGCTTGTTACAGTAAAACTGACTGTAACTGGCTGGGAAATATTTAGCTAGTCTATCCATAACAACTTGCTTGTCCAAATCCTCTTCAGATTCAGGCCAGAGGAAAAGAAAAGAATTAAGTTTAGCTTGTGCCTTCTCTTGAGTTGTTTCTTTCGAAAAACGCAATAATTATCTGTTCTCTCATTTTTACAGAGGCGCCGTTCTCTTAGGACTGGCTCATGGACTAATGCTGTCTTTCTGGCCTTGGTCTACGTGCGCCCTGTGTGGTTGGTGCCTTATAGGTAAGAATAAATGTTCTGCAGTCCCTAAGCCTCTTAAAGACATTGCATTAGTAGGAATGGGGAAAGGAGACATACGTTCTTCATTTGCTGAACTGTATAGACTTGGGGATCTTGCCCATGGTGAAATTCACAGCATGAGTTCATCTGAGAGTAATTTTTAGGTGTTATATGAGTGCGTTAGTCATGGAATAGTTCTTTCATTTTGATGTAAATACTGCACAGTAAGTGGTTTAAGGATCTACGCAATTACTTCTCCATCCAGGGAGCTTTCATATACCGTCTTATACAGTAGGCGGCAAGAAGTATGTATATGTTTTTAGCTCATGGTTGGAGGATCAGAAACAACATTTATCATGTTAGGTGTTAGAACTCACGCTTGCTTGGAAACTCTAATCCATAATTAGTTTACCATACTTGGGTAAGCTGATAGCGTCTAGGCATTCCTGGGTGAAACCTTGATCCTCATCAATGCCGTTTCTGCCCTAGTAGTAGTTTCTATACTGAGATCATCTTAGTCATCACAGTGGTTACCATTCATCTTGGACAATTCCACCTTCCTAGCTCCTTAGCAGTTTTTCAGTAAAGTGTATTACCAAATGCTGGGTCAACTGCTTCAGAATCTCTTTGGGTTCCAAGAGATAGCAATCCAACAGAAAGTATTTAAATAACTGGAGAACTATCAGACTGGTTTGAGGACATTATTAGTCTTGGGAACCCTTTATTGTTTACTCTGATCCCAGTTATAATAAGGTCTGTGATGGTTTTTATTCATGGTGATGTTTTATTATAATAAAGGGGATATTGATACTGCGTTATATTTATAAAGGGGTTGTTTCCGTTAGATTTTATGGTGCCATATTTATCACTGTGTGTTGTAGCCAACATTAGTTCTAGTCAGAGCAGAACCATCAAAATTAATAGACATGACTAGCTTATGTTCTAGAGTACTAGACCTACTCTGAGTAGAACCTACAACCAAATGACAGTGGTGCCATATTGATCAGGAAGACAATACATAGCAATGTTTTGTGACTTTGGCATCATTTTTTGTCCCTTTTTTAATAGGTGCAGCAGGAGCAGCTGGTCTGCTTGGCTTACGAACGTGGTATGCAGCCATTGCTGGCGACCTCCTAGCTGTCTTTACAATGTGCGTGTGGCCTCGCATAACCGGATGCTTCGTTAGCTGTTTACATCCTGGGAAAGTCATGAGTACAGCCATGCTCATACTTGTGCTAGAAACATTCTTCTGTGTGTGGTGCACAGCTTATAAATTTGTGCCTGGTGGAATCTATGCTAGAGAAAGCTCTCATATTCTTTTGGGTATGTTTGCCCTTCTTAGAGGGTTATGTAAACAGAAGTATGAGTGTATCATTTATAATACTTGCATCTTTACATGCAAATACTAGTGCAGAAACAATCTTTAACATGTGTAGGCAAACTAAGGCCCGGGGGCCGGATCCGCCTCAATTGCCTTCTAAATCTGGCCTGCGGACAGTCCAGGAATCAGCGTGTTTTTACATGAGTAGAATATGCATTATTTAAAATGCATATCTGGGTTATTTGTGGGGCCTGCCTGGTGTTTTTACATGAGTTGAATGTGTGCTTTTATTTAAAATGCAGCTCTGGGTTATTTGTGAGGGATGCAGGTGGCGCTGTGGTCTAACCAAAGAGCCTAGGGCTTGCCGATCAGAAGGTCGGAGGTTCAAATTCCCGCAATGGGGTGAGCTCCCGTTGTTTGGTCCCAGCTCCTGCCCACCTAGCAGTTAGAAAGCATGTCAAAGTGCAAGTAGATAAATAGTTACCACTCCGGTGGGAAGGTAAACGGCGTTTCCATGTGCTGCTCTGGTTCGCCAGAAGCGGCTTAGTCATGCTGGCCACATGACCCAGAAGCTGTCTGCGGACAAACGCCGGCTCCCTCGGCCTATAGAGCGAGATGAGCACGCAACCCAAGAGTTGTCCGCGACTGGACCGAACGGTCAGGGGTACCTTTACCTTTACCGGGTTATTTGTGGGGCATAGGAATTTGTTCATTCCCCCCCCCAAAAAAATATAGTCCGGCCCCCCACAAGGTCTGAGGGACAGTGGACCGGCCCTCCTGCTGAAAAAGTTTGCTGACCCCTAATCTTTAAGGACGAATTCACAGTGTGCTGTGCCTTGATTATTATACAAAATAATGACAATTCAAAGTTTCTGTAAGGCTCCAGCACTCAGCGCTTTTCGACGGAGCATGGTCACCATTCAGCTACAAAATGATAGATGTACATGCAAAAGCCACAGCACCCACGACAAATCCCAGACTGGACCTAAATAAGAGTAACTGAAAATAATTTTAAATCAGATCATTCCCCTAGCCTATACTAGGTCATAATTTTGGAATAACTCTCCCATATTTTGTCCTTATGTATGATGTATGTATGATGTATATATCATTATATACGGCACCTTACCAGTTTTCACTAGCAAACAAGACAGGTTCCTGTTTCAAAGAGCTTGCAGTGAGGAAGGCAATAGGGGAAGGAGATACAGGAGAAAGGTATACAACTGCAGTTACATGTACTTTGACTTGGATACATCTAGGAAAGAGAACTGGGATTCATTATTTCGTTTTGTCATGCGTTCCTTTATTTTCTCTATTTTGGGGCAAACGTTATGTGCATAAGGGATGCGGGTGGCGCTGTGGGTTAAACCACAGAGCCTTGCACTCTAGAAGGTCAGCGGTTCGAATCCCCGCGATGGGGTGAGCTCCCGTTGCTCAGTCCCTGCTCCTGCCAACCTAGCAGTTCAAAAACACGTCAAAGTGCAAGCAGATAAATAGGTACTTCTCCAGCGGGAAGCTAAACGGCATTTCCGTGCGCTGCTCTGGTTCACCAGAAGCGGCTTAGTCATGCTGGCCACATGACCCGGCAGCTGTACGCCGGCTCCCTTGGCCAATAAAGCAAGATGAGTGCTGCAACCCCAGTCAGCCATGACTGGACCTAATGGTCAGGGGTCCCTTTACCTTTACCTTTTTATTATGCATATATTATACCAACCTCTGTAATCCTATCAGCCACTTCTGTATTGCTCACACACTAGTCAAAGAACGTGATTGTAAATAGTGAGATTGAACTTTTTGTTTTCCCTTCTGATTTATCTGTAGCCTCCAAAGAAAAACTTTTCAGCCCTGATTTGGCCATTCAGGTTTGGCTATGATAATGAAGGTTGGCCCAACTTAGAGCGATCGGTCGTCCTTCTGAATCAAACAGGTACTTTCAACAAAATCATATAGCTTGTGCATTATGCCTCTCTTGTCTTCTGTGATAGACTCTTCCACCTGCGGCAGAGGGGTATAGAACCAGGAAATCAGAGCTCTGGGCTCTAGAATGGGAACAACCTTCAGTTGCTATAATTATTTTTGTTGTTAATTATGATTGCTATTATGCCATACCAATGTTGGGCAGGAGGAGCAGAAACGTCATTCAGGTAAGCAACACAAGGAGACATAATTTTTTCTATTAGATGTTTGTATTAGATATTGTGTTTCACAAAAACCAGTATTGCTCCTGTGGAGTGAGAAGATGAGATCATTTTATTTTCCCCTCTTTGCATACTAAAGCCTTTCACCAAAAGAGTCAATGAGACAATGCAGAGGTGGCAGAATCAATAATATGCTTTGTTCTTTGCATTTTGATAGAAAAAATTGAAACAGTTGATGTTATGAGATTACTACCCAGTTTCCCGCTGCTTGCCTCTCTTTTCAAACAAAATATAAATAAATACTGAAGATATATTAATAAAGCTACACTTCTCAACCCATTGTTTTGTTTCCCAGGGGCAGACTTTATTACTATTGTGGAGAGTGACGCTTCTAAGCCATTCATTGGGAACAATGATCCAACCATGTGGTTGGGAGAGAAACTTGGTTTTTACACAGATTTTGGCCCAAGTACCCGAGATCATACTTGGGGGTGAGTGAACTGTATTTGATTACAGAGGTGCAATAGGTGATTAAAGACATAGATATCTGATGCATTGTAATGAGGATGCTATTGTGTTTATATCAAGTGTGATATCAAGTTATATCATTTTTCTGGGTTTCTTTCTTTCTTTTTTGGATGCAGATACTTGTGAATTATGGCATTTCATAACATGCCTTCATTATCCCATATCCCATAGGGACATATCCTGCATCCTGAACATGCCTTTAGCCGACTCTCAGTCCTCTACAGGTCTAGTTTGGATTTCGCTAAACCATAATTTTACATGACACGAAGCAGTCTGTGAATTCCAGGCTTGCAAGATCCGCCCCCACCCTGCCCCGTCTCCTCCAGTGTGGCTATAAGGAGATTGCAAGCTTTTGCTTCATATTTTGCTTGACCACAGCTTATCATTTTATCCAACCTGCAGTCTTGGTATTAAATGGGGTGAGATGTGGAAAACATGTACCTTGAATTCTCATCTATAGCTTCCTAGATTGATAATATGGAAGTGAAATAGGAACTTGTTGGCTTACATTATTTCCCCGTCATGCCATAGAACATTATCTGTTCCTGGACCTAAAGCCACAACATCCCATAATTTTCACCCTTATCTTTTATTGAATCCTGCACAGGCTTTCAACCCTATTTAGTTATGAGATGATTACCCAGTTTCCTGAGTGAGCCTCTTTTGCCCTGTTCTCCCATCCTAGCTCATTAAGTCTCCTACCCAGTGGTGATACCTTGGACGGCTGCCTTGGGTCACTGAACTGCAGGTGCTGGTTTTAGTTTGCATTGTGCTTTGGAACTAGCTGTGTTCAGTAATTTTACTTTAATGTAACGCAGGATGATGGTTCTGTCAAGATACCCAGTCGTGAAGTCCAGACACCACCTTCTCCCTTCTCCTGAGGGAGAGATAGCACCAGCCATCTCCATGACTGTGAACTTCACAGGGAAACTGGTGGATTTTGTGGTTGCTCATTTTGGAAATGAAGAGTATGTATGAAAATTGCTTGTGTGAACAGAAAAGAAGCCAACTATTTAAGATATTATTATTATTATTATTATTATTATTATTATTATTATTATTATTCCATCCACACCTGAGAAAAATACCGTATTTTTCACTCTATAAGACGCACCCGACCATAAGATGCACCTAGTTTTAGAGGAGGAGAACAAGAAGAAAAAAATTCTCTCCCTCTCTGTGCAGCGCCCCTTCAGTGAAGCGGCAGGAGAAACGGAGCACTTTCCATTTCTCCTCCCGATTCGCTGAAGGGGCGCTGCGCAGAGAGGGAAAGCTTCGCAGTGCCTCTCCAGCGAAGCGAAGCCAGGAGAACAAGAGGAATAGGTGTGCACCGATCCCTCTTGCTCTCCTGGCTTCAGCGAAAGCAACGCGAAGCCATGGAGCCTGCATTTGCTCCATAAGACGCACACACATTTCCCCTTACTTTTTAGGAGGGGAAAAGTGCGTCTTATAGAGCGAAGAATACGGTATTGATATCGGTAATGGATGGATGTCATCCAGTACCTAAGATTAGAATCAACCGGAGTCATGTTCTTTTGAGTAGTTTTTTTAAAAAAGAAATTTATTTGGCTTTACAAATTAGTGTTTACATTCAAAGTCATGTATAAAAAACAAATAAACAAGATTCTTTCTGGGTGGCTTCCAACCAAATATTAAAAACACAATACAGCATTAAATATTAAAAATTTCCCTAAACAGGGCTGCCTTCAGATGTCTTTTAAAAGTAAGATAGTTGCTTATTTCCTTGACATCTCATGGGAGGGCGTTCCACAGGGCAGACGCCACTACTGAGAAGGCTCTCTGCCTGGATCCATGTAACCTCACTTCTCGCAGGGAGGGAACCACCAGAAGGCCCTCAGCGCTGGACCTCAGTGTCCAGGCTGAACAACGGGGGTGGAGACGCTCCTTCAGGTATACAGGACTGAGGCCGTTTACCTCCACCCACGTCCCTCCACCCTTCCATGGGTTTTTTACTTAACCTTTTCTACTGCATATCATCGTCACCCCAATTTTTTAGTTGTCCATTGTGCCCAAGTCTTTGTTACATTACAAGAGTTGTTTTAAACCTGCTAAAGAGTTCAAATGTTTACAGTGGTCTTCCAAATATAATATAAATTTCCCCCATTCTCTGTTGAAGTTTTGATCTTCCTGATTTTCCCAGTCATTTCTTCCATTTCCTCCTAGTCTAAGAGTTTCATCTACCATTCCACTCTGGTAGGGACCTTGTTGTCTTTCCAGCTTTGAGCTACCAGCATTCTGGCGCCTGTCATTGCATGTTATTTTGAGTACTGTAGTTAATTAAAAAATGATAGTGAAAGTAGGAGGGCAGACTGAAAACAGAAGATGTTGAGATGTTGTGGAACTCGGGTTGGCTCTGTATTTTGCAGAGCCATGGGGCTGGTCGATACAAGCACATACAGCAGTTAATATCTCATTAGAACAAGATGAGGAGCAGTTGGGTTTGTGAATTGAGTTCATTGAGAAGTGCTATTTGGTGGTATTAAATATTAAATATAAGTGTGGTGGCTCCGGCACATGTGCAAACCCATCACTTTTAGATGGAGTGGTATGGAATAGAAATTCCTTTCCTTTCACTTTGCTCACTGACTAGACCAAGAAGATTAATATCCTTTTTAAAAAAATGCTTTATAGGTCCAATTTAGCATCTTATGAAAAACATAGCCTGACAGTGTTTGTGACTGTGCTAGAGACAAAAAAAGGCAAAAGCAACCTTATTGGCCAGTAAGGAAGAATTCAAAATCCACATCAGGACAATGAAGGAGCGTCTCCACCCCCATTGTTCAGCTCAGACACTGAGGTCCAGTGCTGAAGGCCTTCTGACGGTTCCCTCGCTGTGAGAAGCCAAGTTACAGGGAACCAGGCAGAGGGCCTTCTCGGTAGTGGCACCCGCCCTGTGGAACACTCTCCCACCAGATGTCAAGGAAATAAACTACCAGACTTTTAGAAGATATCTGAAGGCAGCCCTGTTTAGGGAAGCTTTTAATGTTTAATAAACGATTGTATTTTAATATTTTGTTGGAAGCCACCGAGAGTGGCTGGGTTATTATTATTATTATGTTATTATTATGTTATTATTATTATTATTAGGCCAGGCAAAATGTTACAAAATAGTGTACAAGCTTTGAGTTCTCCGGAATGCTTAATCAAGCTAGATGTTAAGCAAACTAAGGGTGGGAACAGGAAAATAACTTGGCTTATATTGGAGCCCTGGAGTTGTTTGCATTTAGTTTCAGTCTTTAATGGTACTTGCTCATGATTAAAATGGTGGGGTGCTGGATGGGAGAAGACCTGGACTCAAATCTGTGCTCAGCCATATAGACCATGTCTTGGGCATGTTGCTGGTTCTCAGCCTAACCAACCTCACATGGCTGCTGTGAAGATAAAATGGGGTAACGACATGTATTCCCCCTTGAACATTTTTAAGAATGGGTAGGTCACAAATGTGATCAGCAACAAATATAATGGATTGCAGTTGTTAGCAGAAATATTTGCGATTCCCCCACTCTCCCTAGAAATTGCAATTTCCCTAGAAAGATGAATCGTATCTTATGACTGCAATTCTTGCCATTGCCACTTCCTTCAAATAAGAATCATATCTTATTTCCCACCCCCAGAGAAGACTCAGATAGAGAGCTTCAAGCAATAGCTGTTTCTAATTTATTGAAGATGAGCTCTAACCAGGTTGTGTTTCTAGGATACATCACTTCAGCTCCTGGTTCCAGAGATTACTTGCAAATAATTGAAAATGGCAACGTTAAGGTATTACAGTTATGATCCGAAATCATTTCTGTAAAAATACAAGATTGGTAACAATACAACTTGGTGGCCTGGGTACATATTTACGGCATAATAGTAAATTAAAATGAAACTGTGCATGCATTGGTTTTTTAAAAGGTGGTCAGAATCTTAATGTGCAAAAAGCACTGTGTGGACAATTACCCAGGCTGGATAGCAGAGTGCTTATCTAAAGAACAAGGAAAAGAAATGCATAGTCAATAGAAGACTGAAATGAAAGCGATTAGAGCAAATCATCTCCTAAACCCAATTTCATCCACCTCATCTCCTTTCTCACCTAATCACAAACAAAATCCCTACCCTCCATAGCTGTTGTTCCATGCTCCCTTCAGCTCTCCCACTTATTTAACGTTCGATACAGTGGTACCTCAGGTTAAGAACTTAATTCGTTCCGGAGGTCCGTTCATAAGCTAAAACTGTTCTTAACCTGAAGCACCACTTTAGCTAATGGGGCTCCTGCTGCTGCCTCACCGCCGGAGCACAATTTCTGTTCTCATCCTGAAGCAAAGTTTTTAACCCAAGGTAATATTTCTGGGTTAGCGGAGTCTGTAACCTGAAGCGTATGTAACCTGAAGCGTATGTAACCCGAGGTACCACTGTATATTGTTTTTCTTCCTCACCCCTCCCGCATATTCTTAAGCAGCACATGCTTCTGGTTCACATTTTTGGTTTTTCTATAGCTGTGTCAGAAGTCTATAAAAGGGCCCCCTCCCCACTTGCTTACTTACTTACAGCTACAAACACTCAACTACATCCAGATTTCCTTCCAGGTTAACAAGCTGAGGTGTCGGCAAAGCATTCAGGCTTAGAGCATCCTTAACTACTGTTTACAACCACCTCTCCTCTCATGTGAGAGGTTGCAACTAATCCCTCATCAATTCTTGCTTCTGTCATTTAGCCTTCTTGAAATATCATCTGATACTAGAGCCATATCATAGATCAACTTCTGTTCTGACCGCTTATGCAATGCTCTGTCAACCAATTTCTCCAGGGGCCCAATGTTCACTATCTAAGTTCCCCCCACTGCACCCTCGATCTCTCGGTATTCCATGCCCCTGAGTTCCTATGGGGCTATTTTTATTATTTAAGCATCTGCAAACACTGGGGTTACTAAGAGTCTGCTGATATCACTCTCTAGTGTGTGGATTCTGTGATTATAGCTAGGAAAGCATGAGCACAGGGAGACTTGCATCAATCTTAGAATGATTTGCACAATCCCCACAGGCTAATATTTTAAAATAAAATAGTTCAATACCAGTAGTTTCTCTGGTTTTGCAAATTCTAGCTTCGGTTTGATCATCTGAAACCTATAAACACAGTGACTTTGTTCGCATCTGCTGAAACCTTTTTCACGAACCACTTCCTCTTGCATTTGTTTTACTGCTGCTTAGGATATTGACAACACAGATCAAGATAGATGGTGCAGTTATATAATGTATCGTGGATTAATAAGGTACGTTAAATAGATACCTTGGTTATTTGCCTACGGACCCTCACTATCTTCTTGTCTCATACACTCAGCTGCCATTTTATGTGCTGTGCATGCCTGTATCATGCTCTGTATTTTCGAGTGACCAGTTTGAGGGGCAGGTTTTGTATCATCAGACTGTGACACAGGGTGTGTTCACATTAAAAGGTAAAGGACCCCTTGATGGTTAAGTCCATTCAAGGATGACTATGGGGTGCGGCTCTTATCTCACGTACCACCTTACAGAAAATGGAAGTTGTTCTCCCCTTCCAGCTGTTCAACATCCGTACAGCTTTAATTCATTTCTGTTTGTGTACACACTGGGGTGGGGGCGTTTATGGGGTAGGGATAGATTTACTCTATGCAAGGGTGTTCAAACCTTGACTAGAGATGAATTCGGAAGGCGTGAAGCTGTATCTTATAATAAGGTACAGGATACACATGTCTTTTGGATTGTGTGAACATGCATTAAGAACACAGTACAGTCGTACCTTGGTTGTCAAACACCTTGCAACTCGAACGTTTTGGCTCCTGAACGCCGCAAACCCAGAAGTGAGTGTTCCAGTTTGCGAATGTTCTTTGGAAGCTGAATGTCCGACGCGGCTTCCGTGGCTTCCAGTTGAGTGCAGGAAGCTCCTGCAGCTAATCGGAAGCCGTGCCTTGGTTTTTGAACGTTTTCAGAAGTCGAATGGACTTCTGGAATGGATTCTGTCTGAAAACCAAGGTACGACTGTACCGGAAACGCAGTGAGTGCACAGCAAATGGGAATGTCTCCATCTCTTTAACCTTTTCCTATAGAAATGAATGATTACCATTCGTTTGTATTTGTTCAAAGTGGATGCAGCTTCCTTAAAATGGTATTAATTTTGTCTGCAGGTCAAATTATTCCTTACTGGTGCAAACTGAGCCCTCATCTGCACTATAAATTTAAAGCAGTATCATACCATTTTAAACAGTCATGGCTTCCCCCAAAGAATCCTGGGAACGTTAGTTTGTGAAGAGTGCTGAGACTTGTCAGGAGACTCCTATTTCCCCCTTTGAGCTACAGTTGCCAGAGTGGTTAACCATCAGTCCCTCTTCCCAGGGAACTCTGGGAATTGTAGCTCTGTGAGAGGAATGGGAGTCAGCACCCTCAACAAACTACTATTCCCATTATCATTTGGAAGGGAGGGAACCATGGCTGTTTAAAGTGGTGTGTATAGCACAGATGGGGCCTGAGGTGTGCTTTTAGAGCAGCTAGGTGGTGCAGTGGGTCAGTGTGTCCGGCTGTTAACCAGATGATTTGTATTGTGGTTCAAGCTCACCCAAGAACTGCTATGGGCAAGATTCCTGCATTGCAGGGGGTTGGACTAGATGACCCTTGGGGTCTCTTCCAACTCCACAATTCCATTATTTTATTCTATTAATAGCTTGAGAAGCAGTTAATTAGATACTGAAACCTGCCATTTATATTATCGGATGGCAAACAGTCACAAAGGTTAGAAACTAAAGTGGTACCTTAGGTTAAGTACTTAATTCGTTCCGGAGGTCCGTTCTTAACCTGAAACTGTTCTTAGCCTGAAGCACCACTTTAGCTAATGGGGCCTCCTGCTGCTGCTGTGCCGCTGGAGCCCGATTTCTGTTCTTATCCGGAAGCAAAGTTTTTAACCTGAAGCACTATTTCTGGGTTAGCGGAGTATGTAACCTGAAGCGTATGTAACCTGAAGCGTATGTAACCCAAGGTACCACTGTATTTGGAAATCTTGAATGAGTAAAAAATTAAAATGAATGAGATGTTTTACTTCATTGAAAAAAATTATTTGCATTTATGGCAGATTGGGCTATGCTCGAATTTCTCATGCTCATCTGAGTGATTCTGAACTTCAAATGGCAAAATTTAGAATCCCAGATGACCCAGATAATTATATTGATAATGACAAACTCACCATTGACCCCAGTGAAGTATCGAAGGAAACACATTTTGCCACAAGGTTAGTGCATTTAAAATCAAAATGTGCCACAATGTTTTCAAGTGAGTGGCTTTGAAATTGCCATCACTTTTGTGAACATGAAATATGGGAATCCGTAAGTTTAGTAGCCTGTACCTATGACTTGGAGTAAAGAGATTCTTTTTTGTAATTCTTTTTTTGAGAATCGCTCTCTCAGAGAATGAATTCAGCTGGCGAGTATGGGCAGGATTGTAGCCAATATGGGGCCACTGAGAAACTGAGTCAGCATATTTAGTTTGCCACACACACACACACACACACACACACACACACACACACATATGTGACAAAAGATGCCTAAGGGAGCACCTCACTCCCAAAGAGAATAGTGCATACTCAGAGTTTATGCTGGGCATAAAATACAGAAAAGTGACTTGTGCACGTGAAGAAATTGAGGATCCTGGAAGGGAATATGGCTGGCTAGTAAAAGGTACCCCTGGTTAGGGGTCAGCAAACTTTTTCAGCAGGAGGGCTGGTCCACTGTCCCTCAGACCATATGGGGGGCTGGACTATATTTGGGGGGGGGAGGAATGGACAAATTCCTAGGCCCCACAAATAACCCGGTAAAGGTAAAGGTACCCCTGACCATTAGGTCCAGTCGCGGACGACTCTGGGATTGCGGTGCTCATCTTGCTCTATAGGCCGAGGAAGCTGGCGTTTGTCCGCAGACAGCTTCTGGGTCATGTGGGCAGCATGACTAAGTCGCTTCTGGCAAACCAGAGCAGCGCACGGAAACGCCATTTACCTTCCCGCTGGAGCGGTACCTATTTATCTACTTGCACTTTGACATGCTTTCGAACTGCTAGGTTGGCAGGAGCTGGGACCAAGCAACGGGAGCTCACCCTGTTGCGGGGATTCAAACCGCCAACCTTCTGATTGGCAAGTCCTAGGCTCTGTGGTTTAGACCACAGCGCCAACAAAGGTACTCAACACTGCAGCATTTTGCTGCAGGTCCCATTTGAATGATACTTGTTCTATCAGTGTGGATAGTTCATTATGTACCAAGTCTCAATGAAATCAGAGAATCATGTAGCACAACTATATGCATGTTTACTCAGAAGTAAGTCTCAGTGAATTCAGCGGGGCTTAGTTCCACCAGATATTTGTCCAAAGGCAGAAGGAAACCTGTGTACTGGGGCAGTGAGGGAGGAAAGTAAAATTAAATAACCTAATTTCAATTTATTTTCTACCCTGATACTACTAATTTCATATATTTTTTTGCTATAAAGCTGTACAATTAGCGAAGGAGAAAGATGCTTATACCATGAACGTCTCACGCATTATTTTTGTACAGGTTTGGATGCTATCAAGATGGGCACAATTATGAGATGAACCATCGTTTTCACATGAGCACACCAAAGTACTTTAAGCAAGCTAGCCACTAGAAGAATGACATGCCAACAGGTTAGCAAAAAGGAGGACACCCACTGCACTGTGAAAACCAATGTCTTAGGACTGAGCCACATCCACATTCATGTCTCATGGACTTAAACCAAATGGATCACCCTTGCCTTGCACAAGAGAAACAAAATAAACCATGTGAAATAAGCAACATGTGTAAATGTGTGTAATTCAGGCCACAGCATCCAGCTTTTCACATTATACCGTTTGGCTTGATTTGGCAGCAAATATGTGTTGTTTTGTGTGTGTGTCTGTCTGTTTGTGTTCAATGCCACCGCTAACTACTTAATGCATTCAGAAAAGTAGAGTTTGCTTATGAAAATGGTGATTATATTTGTAGAAGAGAATTTCCTATACTGTACAGTGGTACCTCGGTTTACGAACTTAATCCATTTCGGAAGTCTGTTCTTAAACCAAAGCTGTTCTTAAACCGAGGCTCGCTTTCGCTAATGAGGCCTCCCGCCGCCAGTGCCCTTCCACCGTTCGGATTCTGTTCTTAGACTGAGGTAAAGTTCTTAAACCGGGACACTATTTCCGGTTTTGCGGAGTTTGTAAATCGAATCATTCTTAAACCAGACTGTTATTAAACCGAGGTAACACTGTACAGTGGTACCTCGGGTTACATACGCTTCAGGTTACATACGCTTCAGGTTACAGACTCCGCTAACCCAGAAATAGTACCTCAGGTTAAGAACTTTGCTTCAGGATGAGAACAGAAATCGTGCTCTGGCGGCGCGGCAGCAGGAGGAGGCCCCATTAGCTGAAATGGTGCTTCAGGTTAAGAACAGTTTCAGGTTAAGAACGGACCTCCAGAATGAATTAAGTACTTAACCCGAGGTACCACTGTATTCAATTTATTGCCAGACCCGCCTTTAGTGCAATGCATCTGTTTGTCCTCTAGGGGCCAAGTATATATCAGAAGTATGGTCCTCTATGAATAGTGGAGACAATGCATCTCTGTGCTGCTTAGAAACTTGCTGCATACTTTGAAAGCTAGGTCATAGTAAGCCTCTCGTTTCCTAGGAGTTTTGTGCTCTCTTCATAACTCCCTACTGTAAGTTGGACAGTATATATACTGTGTTGCCTATTTTACTCTGTTTATGCTTGTGAAAGCATGGAATTGGTGCTATGGCATGCAACTTCAAAACATCTTCTGAAGCTTCTCCAGCTGGCAACGGTCATCTGGAAACTGCTTCTCAAACTCAACTATTCAGTCACTCTTTAGTCCCTGTCCTAAAATGGCATTTTCTGTCCCAGTACAGCCACTGTAGCTAGTGAAGAAGGTCTTTTTTGTTCTGGCTCTGTCATACATTCTAAACCTTTGCTGTATCCATTTGCAGTATTGGTGCACCTTGTATGACATTGCCCTACCCACAGCAGTCATCAGTTCTCATCCTAAGTATTTATTGTCCCTGCAAGTATCCTAGATGGAGTTGGTTGGACTTTTTACAACTTTGGGACTCTGAAAACATATACTGAATAGTAGAGGTGTCCTGCACATGTCTGTTGCAGGTATTGCATTTTGCTGCTATTGTGCTAAGGAATATGTCGAAAGCCAGCTGAAACAAAATCTCATTTGTTTGAATAATAGGATACTTTTAGTTCACAGCAGAAGTCGTTACAAAGATTAGAGAGAAGTCCTTGTTTTGTTTTGTTTTGAAATTGCCAGCACATTTTAGCCTTGTGAGAGTCAGAACGTAAAGCTGCAATTATTTTTTTACAATTTATTCGCATGCTTTCAGACATAAAACATAAACACAACCAGAAGTTATTTCAGAGAGAGAATGAATGAGAAAAAAATTAAAACAAAGGACTGAGGCATAATATTTTACACTGTGTTTTATCAAAAGCTAGTTTTATTATGGGACTTATAAATCAAATATATATTGGCATTAAGGCCCAAGACCAGAAACATTAGTGCTTAACTGTTGTGCTACTTATAATCAGTTCCTATTTGCAAGTCCATTTAAAAAAATTAGTGTGTAGCAGCGGTGAAGAGTTAGCAGAAATGAACTATCATAGAACCATAGAATTGTAGAGTTGGAAAGGACCGCATCTCTGGAGGTTTTTTTTGCCTGTAAAAGGCCACACTCATGAAACCAAGTATCTTCTTATGTATTTTGTCAGGCCTTTTATTCCTTATGCTGAAACAGATATGTCTTCCCCTTAGGATAAAGCAAATGCAGTCACTGCAAATTTCTTTAGCTGTTCAATATAGCTGATAGGCGGTCCACACCACTTTTTTAAATACTGCAAACACACATGCAATAACAGAGTTTGACGTACTAGAAATCACTCAGACAGGTTGAGTTGAAGAAGCTAAGCAACTGCGGGTGTGACCTTTCTTTGTGCATAGGCCGCAAATGGCTTGCTTTCATCCCTGGCGAAAGGATCTGTGAATTTTGAAAGCTTGTTTAATCATACTCAGAGTGAAGTTGGTCTAACAAAGGCACTCACTGTGTGTTTGTGTGTGCATGGCGCAGTGTTCAATTCCTTTCATCAGTGTTTCAATGGCAAACACCATGAGTGCCATCTGCAGGTCATGTAGCATTGGCCCTTGACATTCACGCATGACAATTGGGATTGTTAGTGTCTATTTTCCTTTCCTTTATTAAGTCTATTATTATTATTATCAACAATGGTTTTTTCTGGGGGGGACACAGGGGTACACATACCCCTGAACATTTTGTGAATCTAAGTTTGGCCTCATTGAGGGGCAATATGAGTGGGAAAATGAGAGTACCCCTAAACATTTTTTTTAAGAAAAAAAACACTGATTATTATTATTATTGGAAAAAGATTTTTTTAGGAAAAAAGCACTGATTATTATTTATTATTGGAAAAAGAATGCAATCCAAAATGATTGCACAAAAATGAGTTTCCACAAATGCGTCTTTTAAAAAAAGGCTTTATAAGGCTTCAAGCCCCTTATCCATATTCTGATGCAGCGCCTCTTATTATTCCGAAGCGCCCAAACCATCCTCAACCATGACAGCTAGAAGCTGCTCCCCAAACTCCCCATGCCATCAATGGATCGCGTTCCACTCCGCTCAGCCAATCAATTCGCGAGGTAGGCGCGGCCTGTGGGCCCGTTCCGTCCAATCAGAACCGGAGGCTCGCCCTCCGCACTTCTCCAGGGGAGGCGGCGGCGGCCCAATAGCAGCAGAGGGGCGGGCGCGGCTCTTTCGCAGACACGCCGGCCAATGGGGAGGCGCGGCGGCCGGGGTTGGGCGGAGCCGTCGGGGGGCGCAACGCCGGGCCGGGCCGGAGTGGCAAGCGGGTCGGCCCATCGGCACGGCGTCGACGGCCGCGAGCGCGGAGACTGCGAGCCAATGGGGTGTGGGCGTGGGCGGGGCGAGAGGGCGGGGCCTCTTGCCTTCGGGGAGAGCCGCACGGAGTAGCGAGTGAGGAGGAGGCCGGTCGGACCGCCCGCTCGGGGCAGCGCGTGTGCCGGCGCTGCACAAAAATGCACTCGGATGCCGCCGCTGTCAGTAAGTAGCGGGGAGGTTTCGCTCGGTGAGGGGGCCGAGGGGGGGGTTGCTAGGCGACCTCTGAGCGACGGTTGCGTGAGGGGAATGTTCTCACGGGGGGTGGGGCGGGCGCGTTTAAAGGCTGAGGGGAAAAGGGAAGGGAATCTTAACGGGTGGCGGCGGGTGGGGGGGAAATACGGGTAGGGGGGAGGAAATGGCTGTGACGCAGTTCGTTCTTCCGGACGGCGATTGTTCTCGGCGCCCGGTGGTCTCCCCTCAGCCGCTCCGACCGAAAGAGAGGAGGAAGAGGAGCGGAGGGGCCTGCTTCTTGGGGGGCCCCGTTGTGAAAGGGGGCAGAAGGAGCAAGCGCCCCCTCCCCCACCCCTCCTCTCCCCTTCTCTTTATCCCGCGTTGCATTGTGGGAGTTGGAGTCCTCGCCTCCCGGCCTGTGCGCTGCACGGCGCGAGCTGCGCACTACAACTCCCAGAGCCAAGCGCACTGCCAACGGTCTTTCTCCTCTCTCTCCTTGTCCACCCCCTTCTTTCCTCCTCCGCTCACCCCTCTTTTTGGGTCAGTGGGTTGCAGCCTGAGAGCGACCCAGAACTCTCTGGCCTGGGGGAAAGAGTAGGTAGGTTGGCCAGGGGGGCGTGGATTCTGTCCTGGTGGGTCGTGCATGCTTCGGGAATAGGGGGCTGGGGCTTGGAGGGATGTGTGTGTGTGTGTGTGTGTACCTGCTCCCTTGGGGAAGAAATAAGCGGCATTGGAGGAGCAGAAGGGCCAGTCCCTTGCATCCCGATGACATTTTGCTCTTTAACTTGCCCAAACGTCTCTATTTCTCCAGTGTTTTGCCTGCGCTGGGCAAAGTTCCCTCTTGACAGATTGTCATTGTCTGCATTCTGGAGAAGTCGTGGGGGTGGCGGTGAAGCAGCCCTTGGCCCTCTTCCTAGACATGTTGCTTTGGAAGGCGGTTCTGTTAAAGCCACTAACTCCCTTCAAGTAAATTTGTTCTTGCAGTTGATCTGCGCAATTTACATTGCTGCAAAGTATTGTTTCCCAGAGACAAATAATTTATCTGTCTCTTTAACAATTGATTGCTTCTGTAGATTGTTATAGACCAGTTTTTCTTTCTTTCTGTTTTTCCTTATTTTTTGAGTTTTTCTTTCAAGTCTCCCGTCGCTGTATCCCCTACATGATCCAACACAGTAATATCCCAGTCTTAAAATATTGCTCACAGGTCTTCAGGAGAACGCCCATCCCCAAAATCACTAAGGCAAACAAAGGCAGCCAGTCAAAGCAGATTTAGCTGGCATAATGTTCAGGCACAGTTGAATTTTGTGTAAAGGTTAAATTATATGAATGATTTTTGGAACCTAAACTCTTTCTTTCCAAAGGTAATGTGGAACATAACAGTCTTGCTGGAGAGGCTTGTTGTCTTCCTGCAGTTTTTTTCCTACTCTTTGGTAGTAAGGCAGTTAATAAATACTCGAGTCCATAATGCATCTCGCTGCTTATATGAAATTGAAACTAAATTTCCTTTAAAATCTGCTGTATGATGAAAGCTTTAGTTTAGATTAGGGTACTTAAAAGCAAAAATAAAGCAAGCTTTTCAAAATGCATTTCCAAGATCTCTTCTGGTTGCTGAGGAATAGCTTTGTAAAAAGCTTTTGTGATGCCCTCCATTATTTTTATACATTTAAAAGTGTTACACATTTTCAGTATTCCCACATGCTTTTCAGAACTGTACAGCAGTTAAGCCAAAATTATAAATAACATAGAAGCATAGTCATAGTCAATCTCCTATGCCTTCTGGCAGAAGTGGAAGAAGCCACCTCAGGTTTTTGTTTTAACAGCTACTGAAGCTACATATTTAGCAGAACAAGCAAAATATTTTTAGGCTGGACAGTGTCCATGGGCAAGAAAACCATAATTCTTCAGTGCCCTTTTTGCTAACTCAGTCATTTTAAAAGCTTAACATTTTTACACTACAGTCTTGTACATATCTACTAAGAGGCAAATCTCATTGAGTTCAGTGAGGATCACCCCACATATAAATTGGGGCACCGTCCTATGTACATGGCAGTACAGTCATACCTCGGCTTAAATACTCTTTGAGTTGGGCGTGTTTGAGTTGCACTCCGCGGCAACCCGGAAGTAACGGAGTGTGTTACTTCCGGGTTTCGCCACTTGCGAATGTGCAGATGCTCAAAATGATGTCATGCACAGAAGCGGCGAAAAGTGACACGCGCGTGCGCAGACGTGCCATCGCTAGAGACATTTACCTCTAGATGCGAATGGGGCCCCGGAACGGATCCCGTTCGTATCTAGAGGTACCACTGTATATGTAAGCCTAGTTGAATTCACTAGAAATTGCTTCTGAGTAAACATGCTTAGGAATATTATAAACCAAAGAACTGTAATTGCTGGCCTAGCAAGAGGATTTGGTGTCAGTGTTTTCTCTAAAGCATCTTCCTCTTCTGATATTTTAGAAGCCTTTAATTTAGTTTTACTTAAAATATGAACAAAAACGTTTTTTGTAAAGCAACTCTTAAACTATACTTTCAGACTTATCACTCCGTGATTTTTTCAGATAGAGATACTAAAATTTTCTGTTCTAGTGTTGCACATGCAGCGTTCAGGTTATGAAGTATCTTATTCACACTTTTCATTCATATTAGATATTCTTTGGCCCATGAAGTCTAAATTGCTGAATTTCTCAGAAATAAAATTCTCTTTCACCCCTTTTTTTCACTGTTGAAATACGTGCCTGATTGTGTCTGAGGTAGGAGAGGTTGAAGGACTTTGAAATATTCCAATTTCTAGTACAGACAGCTGATTCTGAAGCTCATGTGATAGTGTTAATCATTCCTCATTCTTTCTGTGAATACTCAGATATGTATTTGTATAATTTCACTGTTTTATGTAAAACTAGAGCCCTTGTCTTTATGTTGAACTAGATCCTTTGTCCTCAAAACCCCTGCTCAACAATAAGGGGAATATTTGGATATGTGGAAATGGTTGTGAGGGAAATTTTATACATGAAGCACATGGCTCTGACCAAGTCAGTCTTGAAACAAGTACAGTCAAACCTTGGTTGTCGAACGTATTCCGTTCCGGAAGACTGTTCAACTTCCGAAACATTTGACAACAGAGACGCGGCTTCCGATTGGTTGCAAGAGCTTCTTACACTCAAGGGGAAGCCATGTCAGACATTCCGGTTCCGCAAACGTTCAAAAACCGGAGCATTTACTTCCGGGTTTTTGGCATTCGGGAGCCGAAATGTACGATAACGGAGGTGTTCGGGAACCAAGGTTTGACTGTATCACAAACTTTTATCTGGAAGAAGGGGAGCAACGTTGTACTGTAGTCTAAAATAAAGCACTTATTGGAGAGTAAGTTCTATTGAAGTTAGAGGCGCTTAGTTTCAAGTAAACATATATATTCTCTCAAGCGTACATGCGAGGAAGTAATTCCCATTGAACTTGGAGGAAATGGATTTTAAGTAAGCATATTTTGTATTAGGGGTTTGATCCTTAAGGTCCCATTGTAATCGAAATTTAGAACCCCATATACTTGGAAGGTTAGTAAAGAGAACTTTAACAAAATAGCAGCTATTGAATCAGTTTCTGTCACATTCAAGTAAACGTTCATTAAAAATGAAAGCCTCACATGTATCCTTGTTTTCTATTGTATTGTAGTCTTTTAAATTTGAATTTTGAAAAACTGCAAGTTGTGTCCAAAAATTCCATGCTCAGGAGGGCACTAGTGAAGTTTCTTGCCCCCTTTCTCCCTATTTAAGCCCCCTGTACCATAAAAGGTTTCTTGCAGGATTAGTAGTGTAGCATGCGGGGAGCAGGGCACAGGGGCACTTTCCCCAGGTGCAAAATTGTTAGGGGCACAGTATTGCAACACCCAGTGCTGCTTCAGTGCAGCTGCATGCTTCTGTTCCTGGGCTCCATTGAAAACGCTTCTTGATGCGAACCAGGAAATGGCCTCTCCAGAAAACGGACTGGCTCTTCTCTTCTTATATCTGCAACTGCAATCTCCTGGTTGGCACAGATGCTGTTCGGCAGTTGAATGTGCAAGCATACTCCACCCGTTTCCCTCCCACGTCCCCTCGGCATGGCCCTGGGCACTAGCAACCCACGGTACGCCACTGTGCAGGAGTTAGAAGACCTGCAGGACAGCTCTCTGAAAATCAGGAAGAGACAGCTTGTGCAAGAGTCACACGCCATATTCCAGACCTTTCACGCCATATTCCAGACCTTTCACGCCATATTGCAGACCTTTCCTAAAGGTATCCTAACATTCTGAGAGACTTTAAGGGGGCTTAGGGGTCTGCAGTGGGGAGCAAAGGGGAGGCAATGTCCTGAGTAGTCTTCCACTTATGTAACTTCTGGAAACACTCATGTGAGTTTTAAATATTGTAGTATGTACAAGTTTTTAATTTTAACAAACTTAAAATGAAAATGCATTTTATCTAATTTGATTTAATAATTTTTGAAATAACTGTACAGTAGAAGGAAATGCTTTCCCTTTCACATGTAAATCCCCGTCCCCGCTAAATTTGTTGGCCTCTGACTTACATTCTTCAATTCTGGAAGGTTATGTTCCTGCCCTTATAGGAATAGAGGCCACCATAGAGTTGATCCAGTTACCTAATATTTGCTGGAGTTTGTTATGATTTCATATGAGACCAAACTGGAAGACTTGGCACAAGTGAACTGTTAAGTAGATATAGCAAGCCTCATTGGGAATAACATGGTGGAAATAATTTGTATTAGTGCAATGCAATGGCTTTGAAATATTACTTCAGGTTTCATATTTAAAATGTCAGTCACTTCATGTGTTGAATCCCCAACTGTGGAACACGGGAGGAACATTATGAGCATCAGGAAGAGAATGGGAAACAGATTCTCTTTGCAGAAAGCTGAAGAAGTGTTTTAAGTTCATGTTTTTTTCTTCCGCTGTTTTGTGATATAAATAGTAGGCCTGACGTGGTAAACTCTGTCACATCATGTTGCTGCTGCTTTTATTATTTGTATTTATTAGTTGCTTTACTCATAGAAATAACTGAAAGCCATTTACAGATAATAGAAATATTAAACCAATTACAATAAACACAATAAATAAAAACCTAAAAACCTCTAGAGATGTACTGATGGCTTTTAACTGTAATAAAATAGTTGCTTTTACATCTAAAAATTCTGTAAAATGAAAGCTTCAAGTTAAAACTGACCATACAACTCAGCCTCTAAAATACTTCAATAAAGAAGAGCCAAAGGTTTATTTGAATAAAAGGGTTCTCACCACCCACTGGAACACGAATAGGGCTAGGCAGATCTCCCCTTCAGAGAGCATTCATAAGCTTTGGTGGCACATAGAAAATTCCTGTTTTCCCCTTTCACACCTCAGACAATGAAGATGGCTTAATACAAAAATGCTACAATCTAACCTGATCCTCCCAGTTAATCATTTGGTGGTTATATTTTTAATCAGTTAATGTTTCTGAAAGTTTTTAAAGGCAGCCCCTTGTGGGGACTCAATTGAAATGTAGTATAGATGCTTTGTTGCATGAATGACTTGAGCTTATTTTACAGTTGCATTCTACAACTTCCTTGTGAAGTTTCAGATTCTCGCATCTTGAAAATATCTGTTGTGCTTACTCCAGTTCTTAAGTTAGGCAGTGTTGATTTTGAACTAAAATACGTCACCATGAAATCATAGAATCGTAGAATTCATAACTAACTTGGGTCCATTAATTTCATTGTGTCTACTCTGAGTAAAACTTAGTTGGATACAGCCCATTGTCTTAAAGAATGAGCACATCAAGGGGCTGCGAGGAACCGACTTATTTGAGAAACAATATGGTATAAAATTAGGAGTAATGCGTTGCTGTGTTTTGTTGGTCTGCCTTTAATAAAATAATGGGAGGGTTGTAGAAATCTCTTCCCAGCTGGAACAAAGAAATTCACAAGAGACAAAAATTGGGATATCAAACCAGCTGCTACATACAGGACACTTTCCCTCTGATTATGATGTTTCTTTGGTTCAAAGAATTACCCAGTGCCTAACAATGCACAACTCCTGGTATCTATGGATATCACCTGTATAAACTGTCCCTTTTTACTCATAGAGCCATACTAGGCGCAAGTTGTTCATGATGAAAAACACCACTGCTTCTGTACATCAGGTTAGAACCTTATAGCATGTCTTTTGTGACATCAGCAATAATTTGATTGACCATTCTAACTCGGTTCTAACCTAAGTGTATATATGGGCTAGATGGGTGTTCAAATTCATATGGATACATAGCAAACCTTTTATTCCAGATATGTTTTGCAGAGCTAAGAATAACTTTATGCTCTTGAAGATGGAAAACTTTTCCCCATCACGTTCTACATTTTGTATGTTTTGAGAGTTGAAGCAAGCCAAGTGAAAGATTCATACCTTGGTTCTCGAATGTATTCTGTTCCGGAAGTCCGTTCGACTTCCAAAAACTTTCAAAAACCAAGGTGCGGCTTCCGATTGGCTGCAGGAGCTTCCTGCACTCAATTGGAACCCGTGTCAGACGTTCGGCTTCCAAAAAAACACTCGCAAACTGGAACACTCACTTCCGGGTTTGCGGCATTTGGAAGCCAAAACGTATGAGTACCAAGGTGTTCAAGAACCAAGGTACAACTGTATAGGGTAATGTAATAGCTTTTTCGGGGGCTGTGGGGGGTGTGACATTATGTTCTAATGTAAAAAGTAATAATAATGATCTTACCAAAAGCTAATATTAAAATAAATTAGTTATACAATCCTATGAACAACCTACCTGCAAATAATTTAATTTGGAAGGCAGTGTGGCTGCTCTTAAGCAAGTCAGAATTTTTTCCTGCTGTAAGACATTCTGTAGTGCTGCTCTTCCAGAAAGGACTATCATTGCCAGATGCATCACATTACTATAAAACTTTTAAGGTGATACCTTCTGATGACTTGCCTCTACACCAGGGGTCAGCAGACCTTTTCAGCAGGGGGCTGATCCCCTGTCCCTCAGACCTTGCGGGGGGGGCGGCGGACTATATTTTGGGGAAAAAGATGAACAAATTCCTATGCCCCACAAATAACCCAGAGATGCATTTTAAATAAAAGCACACATTCTGCTCATGTAAAAACACTAGGCAGGCCCCACAAATAACCCAGAGATGCATTTTAAATAAAAGGCACATTCTACTCATGTAGAAACATGCTGATTCCCAGACCGTCCGTGGGCCGGATTTAGAAGGCGATTGGGCCAGATCTGGGCCCCGGGCCTTAGTTTGCCTACCCATGCTCTACACATTCCTAGAGACATTTGTCACCACAACGTCAATTACCATATTTTTCGCCCCATAGGACGCACCGCCCTATAGGACGCACCTAGGTTTTTTTTGGGGGGGGGGGAATAAAGAAAAAAAATGTTTTCCCCCCCAGGCATGGGGCTGGCGCGGGGGAAGCCCGAGCTTCCCCCGACCCCAGCCCCCAGAACAGCCTGCTATCCGCAAGCCTAGGGAGCTGCGCCGGTCTTCGGAATGCAGGCAGCTCTGCGCAACCTTTGGGAGCCCGGCGCGGCTTGGCGTCGGGCTCCCGAGGGTTGTGCAGAGCTTCCTGAAGCCTGGAGAGCGAGAGGGGTCGGTGTGCACTGACCCCTCTCGCTCTCCAGGCTTCAGCGAAAGCCTGTATTTGCCCCATAGGACGCACACACATTTCCCCTTCTTTTTGGGAGGGGAAAAAGTGCGTCCTATAGGGCGAAAAATACGGTACATTGAGGCAAATCTGTGTTGTGAATGGTTACAGTGATATTGCAGACAATGCTCATAGTAGTTTCGCTTGCCTTGGTTGGATCAATACAATGTTTTGGTTCCTGAAATTCATTCTGATTGTGCGGATAAAATATAACTGATACAGGATGGGGTATTAGTGTGTGAAATCAGTCAAGATCCAATGATCCCAAAGCATGCAGCTCCAGAGGGTGGAGGTGACAGGCACCATCCGGGCACCCAGGCATCTTCACTTGGTCGCAAGTGCCGCTAGCCAGGTGCAAAATGCGCCTGGTGAATTTTGAACACTGGTTTGAGATGTAGTATTACTCTTGCAGAAGGAGATAGGGGACTCAAATAACATTCAGGTATGTCATTTAATGGAATACAAAAAAGCCATATATATATATACACACACACACACACACACACTGTGTTGTATGACAGGAGAAAGGCAGTTCAAAATTAAGACTTTTAGCTTTATCTGCAGTACTTTTGAAATGTGTTTATTAAGCATTCTAAAAGGTGACATAACCTTAATTAGAAAAAATGTTTTTATTTCTCTCTAGATTTTCAGCTGAACTCTCATCTATCAACACTGGCAAATATTCATAAGATTTACCACACTCTTAATAGGCTGGTAATCACTTGCATTTTTTAAATCTACTACTTATATAGTTTTGTCCGATTAGAAAATGTCCTGACATGATTTTCCAGAGCTGGCTGTACCTTTGTAAATAGACGTATGCCAAGTAGACCTGCAAAAAATTATTGAAAATGATTTTTCAAACATCCATGCCTCTTAATTTTCTTCATGTATACTCAGCATTTGGAGATGAAGCCATGACAGCTTCTTGCTATAAACCCTAGGATTTTTTTCAACACAATGGAAAGACAAATTGCTGAAATTTGTACAAAGGACAAGGAATGAAGGGAGACTTTATTCAAAGCACATCTCCACAAGTAGGAAAGATGAAGCCTTCTCCCCACTCAGATTTCCTCCTGACCACATTGCTAGATGCACCATGGATTTTATTTCAGATGACCTTCACCTAATGGCTGCAGAATCTTGTGGCATGCACATCCTCCCCTTTCCTCATGAGTAAGATGAGGTGTGTCTGTTTTATCTTCCCAGAGTAATTGTGCAGGTGAGGGTAGCATGTGCCAAGATGATCGAGGCAGCATGCTCATCTTAGTTGCACACTTGCTCCATTTGCTCATGTGGAAATAGATTGATTAGCCCCCAACCTTTGACCCAAGTCAACCTAAAACAGTGCTGCCGCAGCTTCTAAAACTTACTGAAGTCCTCTCCTCTAAGCAGCAGTCATATTCGAAGGTCGATGGACTGATTTCAAAGTCCTATCCTTGCGTTAACTTCACGGTGGAGTCGCAAGTGCCGCTAGCCAGGTGCAAAATGCGCCTGGTGAATTTTGAACACTGGTTTGAGATGTAGTATTACTCTTGCAGAAGGAGATAGGGGACTCAAAGAACATTCAGGTATGTCATTTAATGGAATTCAAAAAAGCCATATATATATACACACACTGTATTGTATGACAGGAGAAAGGCAGTTCAAAATTAAGACTTTTAGCTTTATCTGCAGTACTTTTGAAATGTGTTTATTAAGCATTCTAAAAGGTGACATAACCTTAATTAGAAAAAATGTTTTTATTTCTCTCTAGATTTTCAGCTGAACTCTCATCTATCAACACTGGCAAATATTCATAAGATTTACCACACTCTTAATAGGCTGGTAATCACTTGCATTTTTTAAATCTACTACTTATATAGTTTTGTCCAATTAGAAAATGTCCTGACATGATTTTCCAGAGCTGGCTGTACCTTTGTAAATAGACGTATGCCAAGTAGACATGCAAAAAATTATTGAAAATGATTTTTCAAACATCCATGCCTCTTAATTTTCTTCATGTATACTCAGCATATGGAGATGAAGCCATGACAGCTTCTTGCTATAAACCCTAGGATTTTTTTCAACACAATGGAAAGACAAATTGCTGAAATTTGTACAAAGGACAAGGAATGAAGGGAGACTTTATTCAAAGCACATCTCCACAAGTAGGAAAGATGAAGCCTTCTCCCCACTCAGATTTCCTCCTAACCACATTGCTAGATGCACCATGGATTTTATTTCAGATGACCTTCACCTAATGGCTGCAGAATCTTGTGGCGTGCACATCCTCCCCTTTCCTCATGAGTAAGATGAGGTGTGTCTGTTTTATCTTCCCAGAGTAATTGTGCAGGTGAGGGGTAGCATGTGCCAAGATGATCGAGGCAGCATGTTCATCTTAGTTGCACACTTGCTCCATTTGCTCATGTGGAAATAGATTGATTAGTCCCCAACCTTTGACCCAAGTCAACCTAAAACAGTGCTGCCGCAGCTTCTAAAACTTACTGAAAGCCTTCCCTTAAGCGACAGTCTTTGCAGAGGTGATGGACCGTTCAAAAGTGCTATCCTTTCTTAACTCAAGGTGGAGTTGTATATTCCCTTTGTGTCTTGTTTTTTGCACTGTTGTCTGTTTCCAGCAACTCCCCCTTTTCCTATTACAGTCGTACCTTGGAGCTTCCTGCAGCCAACCAGAAGCTGCAATTTGGTTTTGAAACCTTTTGGAAGTCGAACAGACTTCTGGAATGGATTCCGTTCGATTCCAAGGTACGACTGTATTGCAGGCTCAGAAAGCTATGGCACTTTACAGTCTCATCTCTGATCTGGCGACCAGTCCCTTATGTTTGCTTTAATTGCTTTTTAACACATGGTTACTGCAGCCATTCCCAGAGCTCATTCCTTCTAGATAGGGTTACTAGTGGCCAGATCCAAGTGCTGACTTACTATAGGCAAATGCTCACACTCAAACCCATTCTGCAGTGAAGCCCGGGGATGACATCCAATGTCACGTATGAGGATTTCCATAGTAGGAATTCTCCTTCCACCCTGCACCTCCTCAAATCCATTCCCATCCCTGAGAATCTTAAAATCTAAAATTTGCCATTGCGGTAAATTTAGAAAAAGATGGGAAATTGTAAGAAGAAATTGGATAGCTGGTGCTATTTGAAAATAGCTAAACTCCTAGTTAACTGCATTGATTTTAAATTTTACAGAATTTGACAGAAGACGTTGGTCAAGACGATCACCAAACAGGTTAGAGAGTTTTATACAAATTATACTGTCGTGTGTTTTAGGAATCTTAGGTAGAGGGGGAACCTTCCTGACTGTAGAAATTAACACCAACGAGGAAGGGGTGTTAACATTAAAAACGAGGGACAGTCAGTTAGCTTGTAAGATTCGCTAGGCTATGTAAGGATTCTGGTTCAAGAGTTGGCCATTCCTAGCAACCCCTTTTCCAAAAAAACCAATCTTTGGGGGGAAAGTTGCTTTGAAAACTGTTGTTGAATTTTAAAACGTGACATCTCAGAACAGCACCTTTTATAGTAGAAGGTGCTTGCACTACAGTGGAAGATTGTGGAAATTGCCTTAATGCCTGTATTTTATAGCATCAGTGTAGACAAATGGACTGTGTGAATGAGTGTTATGAGCATATTAAGCTGTATTGTACTAAGCCGGTCCATTGGTTTCCTTGGCTTGATAGTGTTTGGCAGTGGTTCTCCCAGTCACCTGGCAGAGATCTTGCACCTTCTTTATGCAGAGCATGTCACTGAACTATGCCCCTTCACTTAGATGGCTTATTATAATTTTAAAGTTAGGATCGAAAAGCCTTTCAGCCAAAGAGGTCAGTTAAGAATTTGCAAATTCACTCATGCATCAAAAAGCATTATGATTGCACCTTTAAGGCGCTCATTTTAACTTGTAAGTGATAAAGATGTTCTGTGGTGCTCTTGCAACTTGTGCTTGCTTACAGGTTAAGTTGTGTGTGCCCAAGCCTTTCCATGATTTTCCACTGTTTTGGAACAGAGGGAGGGAAACACAAGCTGAGGGCATTGCAGGGGCAAGGGCAACATAACTGTGTGCTGACCCTTCCTTTCCCTCTATACTTTTATTTATGTTGGAGGGGATGATACGTGTTAATAATCAGTCAGGAATTGGTAGATGCAGGATGTAGAGGTGATGCAAGGCTGGGGGCAGCTGGGAAAGTGTCTTACCTTCATGAAGCAACATTCAAGTTGGAAAGAGAAAGGAGGCAAGTCGCGTATTTCAGTAGGTTGCATAGGATTTGGTTTTTTAAAAATGGCAAAATTAAATCATTAGGAATGAATAAGAACACCACCTGCCTGGTGTTCTGATGATGCCTGAATATGGTTGCTTTGCTGATTCTACTTTTGGTTTGGACTTTGCGCCTGAAGATAAGATGCAGCTGCACAAATATACCAGTTTTATGAAAACTAGGTGTGTTTTGTATTTTAAATTCTAAATAGCACACATGCTGTTACCACACAACACCTCTTGTGGCTGTACAAGAGTAAGCTCTAGGAATACTCCTGGGTCTATTTCTCTTTTCCATTAGACACTGGTAGAAGTACAGACTAGGTGCCTGGGATTGGTAACCGACTAGATGAGGGCTAATAGAATGAAATACAGAAGATAGGGGTGCTTTAGATCAGTGGTCTGTGTGACTGAAGAAGTGTGGTTAAACCTGCCCCACATGGGCAGCTAACATCAGGAGCCCAGTTTGGAAGTGCTGTTGGAGGTGGCCCCTATTCTGAATCCCCAAGTGCCAACCCTTGTAGGCAGATGTGGTCTTGGCATGTGTATCCTAGTAACATCCAGCACAGGCTACTGTAATTTGTTATATGTGGAAGTACCTTTGAAGATCCCTTGGAAACTTAAGGTAATTAAAAACTGAATAGCTAGATTGTGACCTACAAAAGCTATATCTTGCTGGTTGTAAGAGTTTCACAGACTCCAGTGCAAAGTGCTGGTGGCACTCTTGTCCCAAACTATGCAGGATTTTATAGGTTACCTCAAGGCCTCATTGAACCTGCCTGTTCTCTGATATCTTTGGTTCCCCTCCTCCGGATTTGTAATGCATGGTGACTATAAACCAGGCCTTCTCAGTGGTGATGCCCAACTTTTGCAACATTGCTGTATGCCTGCCCCATAGGTTTTAAAATTTTATTTACCTGTGCTTTTTAATTTTCAGTCTGTTTATCTCTTGCCGTATTGAAAGAGTTGAGAATTTAGCGTGCTTTGAGCTTTGTTGCTGTTCTGCTTATCGTGTGATAATTTATTGTTTTAAAGTTTGTGTTTTCATTGTGTCTGTTGCCTCATATGCTTTTTCAATAGGCTCTGCATCTGTTTGAACCCTTGTCTTGCTTTCCTAAATTATTCCACAGGAAGTCTCAGGTCGTGCAGTTCATCAGACTGCTTTAGCAAAGTGATGCCTCCAAGAAAAAAGAGGCGACCTGCAGCTGGAGATGACCTATCAGCTAAAAAAAGTAGACATGATGGGTACGTAATCTTACTTGGATTATTTGATTCAGGAGTCATTACTTTTGTATGGACAGTAGGTCAGGAGGTGTGGACTTGTATTTAACTCAACTCTGGTTTACTAAGCGGAGGTAGTAGGTTTTATTTTATTTTAGTATGCCTATTTTCTTTGAGGCATGATATTGTAATAACTCGATGGGGAGACAGTTCTTTCTCTCAAAGGAAACTATTTAGGAGGAAGCATTTTTAAGGATTCAATTTGTAGATTTGACACACATTTGATTATTATGGAAAACGATAGTGTCCTATGGAATGCAAATATGACGGCTAGATTTTGAATTTGCATACGAGTCCGATTATTTTCTTTCCGCTTCACCCCTGTCCCTGTTTCGTGAAAAGTTACAGTCCACTGAAATTATATAGGCCCGAATAAAAACATAGGCTCCATTTAGATGCAACAACAAACCATAGTTTGGTTTTGAGCATGATAGTTTCTAAATGTGAAAAGCTGTGACTTGTACGTATCAGCTATCAGTCTAGGATAATCCTGCATGTGTTCCCTTATATCTCCAACGAGAGACTTGGAAGTTGAAAACTCATGAGGGGTTTGGAATATCTTTGGAGGTGAGAGTGGGGTTAAATCAGTTCCACTTACGCCCTTCCTCCTTCAACAAACATGTCAAGTGTTAGGGCTTTAAGTTCTGATATAGGCATCCATATATGTTCTGTAGGAATGTTCTGTTTAGTTGTAGATTATTTTGTGATTCTTTTAATTGCCTCAGAGTTCTGAAAATTAGTGGATTAGATAGGAGGAAGAGGCCAGCTTGGTAATACATTCTTATATAAATCTATATATATTATAGAATTTATATATTACGTTATTTACCTCTTCCCCTGCACTAGAATGTACAGAAAATATGATTCTACTAGAATAAAGACGGAAGATGACATGTTCTCGAGCAAGAGGTGCTTAGAATGGTTCTATGAATATGCAGGTTAGCGAATATATATATTGCTTATTGCTGGTTGCCCAGATAATGTTGAAACTTCAAGAAAAATATTCAATATCAACTCCAATTTGAATATAAAGATGCTTTGTAACAAAAAAAATGTAGATTATTAAAAGCATCTATTAAAATAGTTCAGATGCACTCAGCCTCCTGAAAGAATAAAGAAGTTAGTGAACACATATTTTCAATGCCGATGCAACTAGAATGTTGGCTTTAAATTGTATATAGTTTTTTAAAATACATTTGCTTGCTGCATTAAAGAGGTTAATCTCAGGATATACAAGGCTTCAAATTTGAAGTCAAATTTAAGTTGCCTGGTTAACCTTTGGCTAGCTGATTTTCTGTTAATGAATGTAAATCTGCAAAGTTGAAAGGATAGGGCTTGATTTTGATTGATGCACTACTTGCTAGGAGACAGCCTTTCAAATAAGCATACATACATATACATGCATGCATACGTAGAACAGTATTTGAACCGTCACATACTTGTGGCACTGCAATGTCTCCAACCCTATATATATGGTCTATTAAAAAATTGCAGTTCTGTGATTACAAATGGAAGTAACACAATCTCATTTGCTTATAGGAACAGATGATATTGTGGGTCCTGAAGGAATGGAGAAATTCTGTGAGGACATTGGGGTTGAACCAGAAAATGTACGTTCAGATTTATTACAGATGGCAGAGAGCTTGCTTGCTTTCAGATAATGAGAAGGGAGGAAGCATAGTCCTTGTAATGCAGGATTTGGGTTTTTCATTCATTCGTTTACTCACTCAGGTTATTTCCAGACCGTGAGCAACTTATGCATTGCAACTATCTCAAATGTTACAGTAAAGAGAAGGGTTGTGTTCCTGTTAGAAGAGGCAACTTTCCAGAAGCTTTTCTTTCTTTGTCCAGCTGACCGTTCATTGTATTCTTATTTGGTTTTGAATATAAAATGTTTTTGCCTTGTTTTGTTTGAAAATAAATCTCCAAAAAGTTGAGACCAATGGCAAAAATAGTCGTGGCTTAACAAATGACACAAATTTAGACAATAAGGATTAGACAACATTCTGCACCCAGGAACTTTCTATCTGGCTCCCAGTATAGTCTCGATTCCCTAGACCTGCCCTTACTTTGCAGCTCAGCCTTCTGCCTGTGGGACAGGTTAAGTGTTCAAGCCCTTCTTCCTCTTCCAAATAGCAACAGAGGCCTAGGACAGAGCAGCTATTATTCTACACCTCATTCTGAAACACAGGAGGAACGTTCTTTCACTCCTTCCTTCGGGGAGTTTAGCAGTGAAACCTTTGAACCCCTTCTTTGCGGCTTAGTTGCTCCTTCCCACATGTCTAAATTTTGCAAGTGGAAGTGCCAGAACTGTTTGCTTGCTGGCCTTTATTCCACTGAAAATATAGCAATTGTACAACATTTAGCTGCTGCCGAATGTTGTACCGCAGGGGCTTTTCTTTGCTTCAGGTGCCATTCTTCCTTTGCACATTCACATATTTGCTATCTTAAAAGGAGTTAGATATTGGATCACTTTCGTTTTTCTTGGGTGGGAGAGCTGGGTGGGGGTAGGAGCTGAGTAGAGCTTATAAGAGCATTGCCTTTGGTATAGATAAAGCAGGTGGCACCTTTGGCCTAGTACAAGTCGCTGGGGTTGGCGATAAGGGTGAATTACAATTCAGGAAATTGTAATATAAGTTTTGTGTTTTGTTTTTCAACCAGGTAGTTATGCTTGTTTTAGCCTGGAAGCTGGATGCTCAAAACATGGGTTACTTTACGTTGCAAGAATGGTTAAAAGGAATGACATCCCTGCAGTAAGTATTTCATCAGCAAATGTGAAATAAATTTAGCAGTGGTGCATTGTCATTTTGTGAACTTTAACTTCACCCTGCGCAGAAATAGAAATTGTTCTGTCTTATAATCCAGCAATTCTCCATATGCCTTTTGGGCCTCTTAAATTATACTTATGTATGTCTTAAATGGTTTCAAATGTTCGTAGCTGCTTTACTGAATGCCTATGAACTGTATGTGAAAGAAGCATCATCGTTCTTGGTTACAGACTGATTTACCTGCTATAATACAGACTATATTTTTGCTGTAACTGTATTGCTTTTTTTTTTTTGAAAGGCAGTTTATAAATTCAAAGATAAAGTACGATTGGGTTCAGGGCCAGAAAATAGCTTGATGGTTAGCAGTGCGGAATTTAAATTGGTATTTTATTTTTATTTTTACAGATGTGATACAACAGAGAAGCTAAGAAATTCTTTGGATTATTTGAGATCTTTATTAAATGAGCCTACAAATTTTAAACTTATTTACAGATATGCATTTGACTTTGCACGTGTGAGTAGCTTGGAGTTCACATTCTGATCACCCCATTTTTATGAATTCTTGTATGGTTTCTTTCATGAAGAGACGTTTATATCCCCGTGTTAATGATTTCCACTAAGCCTGTCAAGTTTCCTTCAGAGTGCAAAATTCCATTTGTATTTTTACAGTTTTATATTAATCTGCCATGTTACTCATTTGAATCATTTCCAAATCGGTGTTACTGCTCTTGGCTCTTGTGTTAATTTTTATGGGTTCCCAGTTTGATGCCTAAGCATATTTGCTTTCTTTCTAGAGCTCTTAGTTCTGAAATCTTCATTTTTTCAGAGTAGCAGACCACCCAAACCCATCACAAATCTCCCTTGCCTGGTTTTCTACAGGAATAATACAGCTGGTCAAGAGTCGTTCCTGCAGTCTGTTTCCTTCTTAACTACCACATTGGCCCAATCCATTTCACAGTCCAAAAATGAGAACCAGTGGACTCAAACTATTTCCACAATCCAGACCTTTGCCACTGCTAGAGGGCATCTGGACCATTGACTAAACTGTCTTGAAGCTGACAGGGTTGGAGACCCAACATATTGACCCTTCTTAAGCTCCCAGACACCGAGAAATGCCAAGCACAGGTTGAGTAATTGCTATCACCAGCTGAACTTTGCAGGAGAGGAAAAGGAATGTACCATTATGCAGTGGACATTACTCCAAAATAATAACTCATCAAAGGTGAATACATTGTTTAATTGGCTATCCAGGTTAGGAAGTTGATGCTCTGATTTGCAGACAGAATGGATGTATGCATTAGATGCTGACAACAGCTCCCCAGGAGGTATGGCTTCACTGTGTATTTTAAACAAGCAAAAAGCAAGAGGGAACCAAATGAAGATAATTGAAATATAGTTACATTTTGTAAAGCATAAACTGACATGGTTTCTAGTTCAAATGAAGAACATTGTACATAAACCTAGCTTACTTTTTTCTCTCTCTTTGACAGGAAAAGGACCAGCGAAGTCTAGATATAAACACTGCCAAGTGTATGTTAGGACTTCTCTTAGGAAAAACATGGCCTCTCTTTCCAGTATTTCATCAGTTCCTAGAGGTACAAGTAGAAACATCTTTTTATGTTTTATACTGCTTTTAAAAGATGCTGTACCAAGTTAAAACTGGGAATTAGCAGATAGTTGAACAGTTTTACTACCTGAGTTGAATATTTGAATTGTTTTGCTAAACTTACAGGCAAATTGTGTGTGTGTGTGTGTGTGTGTGTGTGTGTGTGTGTGTGTAATTTTTGATACACCTGAAGTTGTAATCAACTTTGAGTTTGAGTCAGCCTCTGTTGCCCTTCTTTAATATATGGGCAAGAGTGACTAACCTTGCAGGGTAAGGATGACTGATGGTGTACACAAACTGCTTTGGACATCTAGTATTGTATGTGACTTTTCCGAAGTATGATGTAAATTATTAAGGTGTCTTTTCCCGAAATCAAGCAAAAGCTCACGAGCACACATTTCATTTTTAGCTCTACAAAATAAATAGACGTGTGTTGTGCATAGTCTTTGAAAGTGACAAAGCTTTTTTTTTTTGCAAATAATGTTTTCTGATATTTGATTTTTGAGGAGCGTTATTCCTGACACCACATTACAGCTATGGTACTTCGGTTCCAGTGTATTAAGCTTGCTTGTTATACTCTTAAAATGGGCTTTCGTAACATCCTTGAGTGCCGGCCGTTTCATCCAAAAGGCATTTTGAATCTCTGAAGTGACCACAAAGCCAAACAATATACAGTAGTTGAAAAGTCAGGCATTTCCGATTTCAGTAACTGCTCCTCTTTTTTTAATCAGCAATCTAAATACAAGGTCATCAACAAGGACCAATGGTGCAATGTTCTGGAGTTCAGCCGAACCATTAATCTTGACCTCAGCAATTATGATGAAGATGGAGCATGTACGTATTTGCACGAAAAGCTACAATCTATTGTACCATATCTTACTATCCAGAAGCTGTTCATTCCAGACTTTTCTTTTTCTGTGTAAAAGGTTTTTTTTTATTTGTGGCTTTTATTTCTTGCAGGGCCAGTGTTGCTGGATGAATTTGTGGAGTGGTATAAAGAGAAACAAATGACATAGGAATTTTAACTATGCACAGCCGCTCAAGAGTCCCTGTTACTACAGTTATGTCGACCATTAGCCATAAACTGCTATTTGTATAAAAGCGCATGCTGCTTTTCCTGCACTGCATCCCGTTTTTGGGGACCTTTTGGTGTTTTGCTGTTTAAGAGGCCAGCTCTGCTTGCTGTGTAGCATTGTTCTCTTCGAAGGCTGCTTTGCATTTTTGTATCTACACTACAGATGGTGAACTTAACCAGCATCCTCACTGTGATTTATGTGTATATTGCTGTCTAAATTTTGTATATGTGTATAAAAAAAGCTTCACCTAGGAGTTACTCCAGAAGTGTATTGTAAAAATAATTTTGTGGCATATTTCTAGTTGCATTAAATAACCATGTAACTTAATTTTTAATTTTAATTTGGTCTCGGACGTAACATTTCAGGAAAAAAGTGATTGTTGAGACTGTTACCACGTGGAACTATTGCCAGTTAGCGACAAGATGCCAATTTTGGAGAGGATATCCTGCAGTATGATTTCTTCACATGCAGATACCCAACTTCAGTTTTGTTTAGTAAGCAAGTATTGGCTGTCTTTTTATTGAAAACCTGTTAAAAGTGTAATAGCTTGACTAGAGTTGTATGTGCCACAAGGATTTCCACTTGGTGATACTGCTGACGTCCTAATATTCATACTCCTGTAGTTCGCAAATAGGTACAGATTAAATCTGATTAAAAAAAGGGTTTTAGACTTGTAAAATGGCATATTTCTTTATTTCAGTTTTGCTGTTCTAGTGTTTTGACTGTATTGATGATGAAAGCAAAATGAAGCCTCTTGTAAAATTTAACATAGATTTGTGGGTGAGTTTCAAGGTCTGGAATCTCTTGTTAAATCTGAACCAAAAAGCCTTGCAAACATGGGAATCTAAAGAAGGCAATGGCATCTTTTATTCCAGGGATTGGATTTCCTAGCAGAATGCCTGTTGCAGGCAATGGGCTCACTAATCACCAGCATTGTCACTCATTTGGGACCACTCTTATCTGTATGTACATGAAAGTTCAAGCCATTGCTTGCTTGAGGAAGCCGAATTAATGTGCTAAGAAATGTCTTTTCATGTTATCTCTGCCTCAGCCTTCATTATAAAGTTTAATACTGAATTTTTGACAAAGGTTACTTAGTGGGTAGCAGACTGCGGAAATACTTCCAAAAATCCAATGGTGAATGTTAAATTAATGGACAGAGTGCTAAAAATGAAGTTTGCAATAAAACATTAGCAGGCTTTCTTTTTGTTGTTAGAGGAAGTTAAACCACAAGTAAACGTGTTGTTTTGAACTCAGCCTAAATGTAAAATCAGTGCAAATTCCTTTATTTTATCATTAAATTGCTTAAATTATTGGTTAGCAGCAACCTTTTAGGACTGGGTACTTGTAAATCAGTGTTTCATTGAATTCAGCCTCTTTAGATCCCAGTCCAGTATAATTCTGCACTGAAGAGGGTGCTGAATTTTATCTGTTTCCAGTGATATCACAACATGGAATATTATGACCCTTAACCTTTGGGAGGGCAGAAGGTGGAGGTCTACCACCAGAATAGTGAGGTTGAAAAGTCTCAGTGTGTACAGCTCTCTGTATCCCTGCTGTGATGGTTGTATTAGAATTTAGACATTTGAAAGCTATTCACAAAATCAGCCATTATGGATATAAATAAAATACCGTGTTAGTAAAATCTTACCCTTTTGTTTAACTTGTTCTATTGAAAACAAATACAAAAAAGTAATGGATCCTATTGTTGCTTGCTTGTATAAAACATACAGTGTTATCTACAGGTTGCGATATTTCCACAAGGCAGCATTGAGTAGTCAAGTTGCTTATTAAATCATGTTGGTTTTTTAAAAAAGTGCTACATGTATTACAATTGGCATAGCCATAAAGAAAAGCTTGTGAAGCTCTCAAAGGAAGGTGTGGGGGAATGCAGGCTTTATTGCAAGCCATTTTGCTGAGAATCCGTGATCCAGCCATTTGTGCGATCTAGTTTAAAGATAAAAAGTATTATAAATAAGGTCCATAAAAGTATCAGATAACGGGCTTTTGGGACAGAGTCTCACTTTAAATTTTTATGCTTGGGTATGACTACTAGAGTACAAAACAAAAGCACCTCATCAAATTGTGAAGAGACCATGCTGTAAAATCTGTCTTTTCTTTACAGTTGAAACAGCAAATGGGAATAGATGGGTTCTGGATTCTGAAGTTACTGGTGCAACATGTACAGGCATTGGGTGGATTAAAATTTATTGCCTCCAAACAATCAGTTGTGCTACAAGCCACAAGCCAGGATTCAAGGTACATGTGCAAAGCATTTCTCTCTCTCTGTGAAGTAGTACTAGGCTGCAGTCTCTTCTTTCCACCCCCATTATCATCGCAAGCGCTTCCTGTCTCGCATAATGTTGCGATGTGCAGGGGTGCATATAATTTTATATGCCAGACCCAGGTCAGCGAGCTGCTTTTGTATCTTATACTCTGCTATAAATATCCCAAGAAGAAAAAGTGAGAACTGGCCCTTGAATTTTGCAGTGAAAGGCAGGTTCTGAAACAGGGTTGGGTCAACCTTTTGCCCTCCCAGATATTGCTGCAATGCGGCTGCCATCATCCCCTGGTCGCTTGCTTTGCATGCTAGAGCTGATGGGAGTCCAGCAACTTCTGGAGTGGCACAGGTTAACCTGTAGCCCTAAATGTAGCTAACCATCAATTTAGAACAAAAACTTTCTTACTGATATACGTAACCAGATTTGAGGAAAATGAAAAGCAAGATCCATTGCTCGTAGCCCAGTTTATGATTAAATGTACTGACATAGTCATTTAACAGATTTTCATATGTCTGCTTCTTGGATGGCTTTAAATGGCACACAGCCTTCTATCATGTGACAGTATTGACTTCTTTCTCCAACAGAAAAGTGAGCTCTGTTGGAGCTTAAAACTTTTCCATGTTGCTTGTGTAACATTTTTCAAGTAAACAGCAGCTTTCAGACAAGCTGTTCATTTTTCATAAGCTTAAATCATTGAAATTCCTAAGTAGTATGTTTGGTATGCTTTTTTTTTTTAAGAGTGGCTGTTCCATTGTCTGCAGAAAATGTCCCTGCCTTTTCTACAAAAATCATTCTGGCAAGATGTTGTATGTGCATTATTCTGATGTAAGTTAAAAATGATTGATGTAAGTTTTTTTTTTTAAAAGACCTGGTATGTAAACTAATACATGAGTGGGAAACTGGTCCAAGGTGAAATTGGACTCCAGATGCTGTCAGATAGGATCCTTATGTAATACCAAAGATGTAACTTGTTGGCACACATGACTGACTTTAAGAATTAAAATAAATAAATAAAATTCTTGGGCAATACTGTACCACATACCAGTATAATTTTCCTTTTTTTGCCAAATAGATTGAATACTGAATATGGAATTTGGTCCTTGTAATCTGAAGTGATTTTGATTAGTGTAGTGCAAATCCATTTCTTCTTTTGTAACTTAAAGGAAACAAAACTGGGAAAGTGTTGCCTATTAGAATCTACAATAGTATAAATGCATCATAAAAACATACACTGTGTATGTAATTTTAATCAGTACACATCTGTCTCTCAAGTAGCAGGTGCATTGTGTTGCATAACTAATTTATACCTTTTTAAAGTATCTATATACAGATTTTTAAAAAAGTAATCTGTAAGTATCTGTATTCTAGTTACTGAGCATTGGTGGGGGGTTTCCTCTCTCCCCCTTTAGAGGTACTAGAATGTCATTAACTTATTAGGATTTCTCTTCCCTGAATCATGAATCAAACAGTGCTTAAATACTCTGAAGTTGAACTGTAAGGATCTGCTTTACGCCCGGGCTAATTACAACTGTTAATACCTCTTGAAAGCCTTAGACTTTGTCATTTCATATAGTTGTGTAAATGCATAGAGTCCACCGACTGGAATGGGGGGGGGGAATGGTGGTGTTACAATTCTTTTTGTGACACACTGTTTTGGCAGAGACAGTAGTTTACCTGACGACACTGACAGCTTTTTATGTCTTAGCCATTTCCATATTGAAAACTTGAGGTGTGCTTATTTAAAAGTCCTGTGGCTCAAATTGACTGAAGTACTGTTATACTACCTAACCTGAGTTTGGTACTCTGCAATTTTTGTGTAAAACCAACATCCCACATATAAAACAATATTTGTGTTTTTTTGTTTCAAAAGTTGATTTTTGTGGCTACCCGCACTTTTGACTGTATGTGCAAAAAGCGTATAATTTTATACAGGTGGACAGTATTTAGTATTTATACAACATATAAGAACAAACAAATCTTGTGACCGACAAAGCTCTGACCACAGTCCCACTACAACTTATTGTCTGTTCTTGCCTTGGGGCAGTTAGTTGATCATCTAAGTAAACTACAATATGTTGCTATGTTTCAACGTTTGTAAAGTCACAAATTGCACAGGTCTGTTTAGTGTTTGCAGTCTTTTGCACAAACATTCAGCAATCCTTAAAATCTATCAACTAGGCCAGGGGTCAGCAACTGTTTTCAGCAGGGGCCAGTCCACCGTCCCTCAGACCATGTGGTGGGCCAGATTATATTTTGAATTTTTTTTCCTCTGCCCCACAAATAACCCAGAGTTGCATTTTCAATAAAAGGACACATTCTACTCATGTAAAAACACGCTGATTCCCAGACCATCTGCAGGCCAGATTTAGAAGGCGATTGGGCCTATCCCTGAACTAGACCACTATTATTATTTTGTATAGTTGGTGGGAAAGATATGTAAGAATGGCTTGTCGAAGACCACCCAAAGTGTGTGTGGCTTATACACAGCTTCTATAATAACCAACTTAGGATGTATGAGGCTAGATTTTTGAAACCATTTCAAATGGACTATCCCATATAGTTTTATTTTGAAATAAAAGTTTACAAAGGTGTACAGGAGAACATCTCTTAGCAATTGTTAGATGTCCAAACTGCTCCTCAATGCAGAGGTACAGTTTGTATACAGCTCATCAGAATCAAAGGCATAAAAGGATTAGAAAAGTCCTGTCCTAAAAAAAACAACAGCCACACACAGAAAGCAGCACAGCAAGTTAAAAACCAATAATAACACTTTCGTTTTGTATAAAGTAACTTTTTAGTAAAAAAATGTGCAAATAAATAGCAACAGCACCACAGTGAAAAAATACATTCGCAGAGATTGTTTAGGAGTGTTCAATTAAAAACCCTTTTAAAGTTTATTGCTACTATTTGGGTTTTCCTTTAGGACCATGCTGTCCAAATTTAGTTTTGGCACATTGTAGCACTTGCAGGTTGACTGGCTTAACAATAAGATCAACAGTTTTAAGCAGACTGGTATCCTGTGAAGGGATGCTCTGAGCCAAATGCCTGTTATCAATGAGGTTTCTTCATTGTTCCCGCAGTGCATTTTTAAAAATGTCTCTTACATATATGTTGGACCTTTCATTCCACCTTATCCCCCAATGGCAGATGCTGAAAAGTTGTGGCAGCATCCAGAGTAGCACCTGATGCTCTCTGAAGGGCTGCCATGGGAAATAAACACTAGCGAAGGCCCTGTGTGTTCCAAAGTACTTCAGATGCATGCATGGGCTTCTTTGGCTTCAAGCCAGAACAACTGTTGCCTTCCAAATATTGTCAGTCCTAAAATTCTATTAAAAGGAAGACATTTCACTGACTTTAATCTGTTGATACTATGTTTGCTTTTGTTAATATTTAAAGTAAGACCTTTGCCTTTCATGTTACAGTTCCTGCTATTTTGTAGTCAAAGTAGCCTAAACTATGCTGTTAGGAGGCTATCTACTGCCAGAATCAAAATGAACAATTGCCTGGCTGCTTGACTCATTCAACTCTGATAAAATGCATCAAAACTCTAGCATATGATTAGTATACAAATTATCCTGCGAATTTTGATGGCACCATTCAGCTGCCTGAGGGTTTTTGCTTTTAACCCCATTCATCCAGGGCATGAAGAGGCTGAAGCTGTACTAATATTTACCACTTATGTAACACATGTCATGTGTTCAAAGCATTTCACGTGCCTTATGTCACTGCTGTGAGTCCTGAGATAATGTAAATCAGTATTGTTATCCCTGTATAGGGCTAATACATAAATAGCAAGTTAAAAGAGGAATTAAAAGGAATAATTTAAAGTTCAAAAGTAACAAAGTAACTAATATAAACACAATTGTTTCTGCCAAAGCAGCTAATGGGTTAACAGGAGCTGTGATAATTTTGGTTTAGTAGTTTTAATACACCATTTCATAATGACATTTAAATATATCCAACCCGTACCAATCAAGTGCTACACTGAATTAACTGTATTTTCTGTGTATGCACTATGAAGTGATTGGTCACAGGATAACAAATTTGCATTGGAATTAGTTGTAGAAGATAGTTATAGAATAGCCCCAATCATATTTCTCTGTACAGCTTTGAATGCTGTTCACGCAGATAAATGTATCACCATTTTCTTTCTCTACAGAATGTGCAAGTCAGGTTTGCACTTATACCCTGCCAACATGAGGGTTTATTTTTTTAAAATCTCCCAATTAGTCTCCGAACTGCCTTCCAATTTTTTTCTCGTTTAAAAAGCAGTTTAAGCTAAAAATTTTTATCTCAAGAATGTTATTTTTCTCTGTGGGAAAATAAGCTGCTTGTTACTATTGCTAAAAGCAGGCTTTAAAAATAATTTATAATATTCAAATAAAATGCAGAACCTATGAAGACAGCAGAAGGAAGCCAATACATTGATGGCGCCCTGTACTTCAAAATATTTCATAACTGTTCCTGAATTTTGTTCCTGTAGAGCCTCTCCTTTCTTATAAATATTTTGCACAGAGACAACCCACAGGAGGGGCTAAAAAGGGAGATCAAATGTACTCAATACCCTGAAGCACCCAAAATCTTTTTAAAAACTAATCTTGTTTGTGATATTTGCCCAGATGAAATGCCAACCTATTTATACGGAAACTTGCGCTGTTGGTGAGGAGTCTCTGCATAATCCTAAAGGATTCAAAGCACCACAGTTCAGACGTGTTTCCCCCCACAAATACTGCTCAGCATATTCTGTTGAGGCATACAGTGGTGCCTCGCAAGACGAAATTAATTCGTTCTGTGAGTTTTTTCGTCTTGCGAAGCACGATTTTAACGGTATTAACGGTTTTAAGAAAAAGGAAACAAACTTGCAAGACGTTTTCGTCTTGCGAAGCAAGCCCATAGGGAAATTCGTCTTGCGAAGCAACTCAAAAAACGAAAAACTCTTTCATCTTGCGAGTTTTTCGTCTTGCGAGGCATTCGTCTTGCGAGCTACCACTGTATATGAAAACAAAGGGTGGGGATGTGAATAGATCATGCACCACTAGGGGGCACATGAAGACTGCCATGTAGGCACACAACCTTTAGCCAAGGCATGGCTAGCCATTTTTGGCCCAAGGCTATGCTCACCACCCAGCCAATTTTCAGAAGCCCACATGCCAGTAGTGGGTGAGGCCATCCTATTCTCACATGCATATACACTGATCTGTGCACACCCGAAGGTTCTCACCACTTGCAGAAAGTATGCTTCCAAAGGTTAGATAAGCCAGAGATTGGTACCATTAGACCTTTCACAAAGATTTCAGTGACTTCAATTCAGCTATATCCTAAAGTACTTCCGGAGTGATGAATGTACTCAAGTACCTTACTGAAATACAGTAATATGTAGCACAAATGGTCTGATGATACGACTCACGTTTAAAAGAATCTGTTCAATGTAGTGTCTTGGGTAAAAAAAAGTGCTTCATGTAGCTCTTTTACAAGCGTGGTAAAAACAACAACAAAAAAGCTTGCAAACATGCAACTGTTTTAAACCTAACCTCTTCCTCGTTTGATAGTGCCCTGTTTTGCTTTTAATATGTATTACCGCAGGGATTAACTGAGGTTTGGCAACCCATGTTGCGGCTCTTAACTGGAATGCGGAATAGAGTCCCGTCGGAGCACATGCAAAGCTTGTAGCGTTCCCAGTCGCCATTGTTTAATTTCTCCCCATGTGAAGGACTCGGCAGTCGAGCTGTGTTGACCATCACACTTCCATTTAGAACAATGCTCTTATCCTGCCAAAGAAACATTTGCAGAAGTTAGCAACAGTATTTCCAATTGAATAAACGTATCTGTTTTAATACCTTAATGTTAGAGAAACTGACTGTAAGAAGCTTCCTTGTTCGGAGTTTGACTACTCAGCTTAATGTGGCAGTGGCTCTCTTATCTGACAAATGACATTCCTTGTCCTGCTATTAATTAATTGGAGATGCCAGGGATTAAACCAAGGACCCTTCTGCGTGAAAAGCACAGGCTCTACCATTCAGCTGTGGGATAGCTAAGGGATCTTTGCTGTGTTAGAAACAGATATGAAAGCTAGGAGCTACATGGCACCTTAAGCCTAGGTTATGGGCGCAACAATGGAATGTCTAGGCACAGTTTTTTATAACAAGAATACAAGCTGAAAATGAATGAACTGCAGTTAAAATATTATGTTCATTTTTCGCATGGTTCAGTCCTTCCCCTGCCCGCCCCCCTAGTATTCTTAAGAGGGTCTCTTCTCCAGTCTTCAGAGAGTAGCTGGAAGTGGGGAGGCAGAAAAAGGGCCTCCTTTCCTTCCACTCTGCAGTTTTAATCTGAAATCACAGGCTGCACCCAGGCCGCCTAAAACAATGGGAGTTTCGAACACTGGATCGTTGTACCTTCTGGCTTAATGTGCATCACAAAACTTAAGTTATCCACCAGCCCTCCCCTCTTCTGATTGTTCTGGTATAGATTTCAGTTCAAAAAAGCAGCAAGTGCATTAGCTGCATATTTTGAGAGAAAATACATATTTTAATATGAATTTTCATGTGAATTTCAAAAAATAGATTAATGTGGAATAGGATGATATGATTTATTAGTGAATACATGTGAAAGAGGGCAAGGACTAGAACTAGCCTGAGTTACCCATCCCTGTCAAGGCTAATGCTCCATTGCAGCAGTTTTGAATGACTGGCCTTTGATCTATACTCAACTGCTACAGCATTCATTTCTTCCCCATTGGTCTGTCTTTAATAAACCCACTCCTGCAGCCTTGTCCTGGTGGGACAGTTCTAGATCCTTTGGGATAACTAGAATATAGGGTAGTTATACACATATCCTTCACTCTCAATTATTTGCACTGTGCTTCCGTACCGGAGAGAGTACAGCTGCAGCAGCAGCAATTCTTGCTTTGGTAAGCTGTGTGCCTAAACTTATTCTCTGCGGCTGGGATCTCAGAGGGAGAAAGCCAAAAGTAAACTCACCTACTGCACAAATATATGACAGTGTTACACTTTGAATACTCTGGCTAAATTTATACTCAGTGTGGCAAGGAACATGGACCTTTACTCTGTTTTCTTCAAGGCTCTGGAATGAAGTCTTGGATGATGTTCGGAGTTGTTATCTTTTAGCCTTTCAGTGACTGTTCCAAAGGCCTTTGGGCCACTGAATTTTAATAAGGATTTGTTGCTGTTGCAGTATTTTATTTTCATTTTGTCAGTTTTTTTAAAAAAAATCATTCAATCTTCATTCTAAGTCACCTGTAATGTTGGACAGGTGAGATAGACATATTTTGAATAACTAGAGTTGCAACTATAACCAATCCAATGAATCCTTTAAATTTTTGTTCCCGTATCTAACTTACAGTCCTTATTCATCAGGTTTCCGCACCCAACCAACCTCTTTTCTGAGGCTGTGCACCTGCCTCTCTCTTTACTAGGCTCTTTCTCTATGCTGCTGTTGCCAGACATGAAACAGAAAATTCCTTCTCTTTAAAAGAGGACGGTCCGCACTTCCTTGAATGGTGGTTGCTGCAATATCTGCTTAGTGGAGACTGGGAGTAGCTTTGAAGAGCCATGCAAGGTTGAGCTTGCCATGCACTGTATCCTCTGTATCTTAGCAAAAGGGCAGCAATTAATGGTGTGCTACGTCTTGCCAGCTATTGTTGGCAACGGGCAACTCTGCGTAACTTGTTTTGGTCAAACAAGGTCCTTTATGGAAAGGAAGAGAGTTGTAATTAGCCTAAAAAACAACACATTTTCCTCCTTTTTTTCTTTCCAGGCAAATATGTCTAAAAGAAACAGAGCTGTTTTGTTTTAGTTTTGGAATAAAATATTCCAATACAAGTTTTTGTTTGAAAACATAGGTATGGAGTATGTGCATGTAGCTGTATCTAATAATCGAGTTTAACTTGCCAGAAGTAACTATATTAAGCTGACAAAGCAGTTATGTGTTTTGACCTGGAAGATGTATATATACCTATAGGTCAAATTTGAGACACGTAACAGTAAGCTATAATTTTATAAGGCTTAAAAAAACCATGCCATTTTAAATCTATAGATGAGTAGATGAACCAAATCAAATCTGATTTCTTTAACTTGGTTGCAGTCATATATATAGCTCACTGAATCCATTTATACAAACTGAATATCCTGGAATTACTCACTGCTTTCAGTTCCATATTGCCCCCCATATGAAACTCGATGGTTTTGCCCATGATGAAAACACCTTCATTTCCACGGACAATGGCACGTCCATCAACCTTTATATTCAGATCACTGGTAGCATTGCTGGTAATCTGAGAAAAAAAGAGAATAGCCGTGGAAAGCATTTTCTAAAAAATAGTTTTGTTTTATACACAAAAACTCACCTTCCTACAAAATTGGCCTTGCTTTTTAAACACCACCGCTCAACCGTTAAAACATTTGTTGGACGGAGGCTGCGATTCTGCAGAGACTGACCGCATATCAATGTTATTGACTGATAACAGTTAACTGCAATCTGTATTTGTGGCCTCATTTAGACAGCAGTTATATATATCGCAGGGGTAGGGGATCTTCTTACCACCACTTCTCTGAGGACTGTGTTCCCTCGGGGTGTGAGGAGTGGTTGTGGGCAAAGCACATATGTACATTCCTTCTCAACACCACATACACACTGGACTTTTAAGCTGTTGTTGCAAAGGAAGAATACTGAATTTTCAATGACCTGACATCATATGACAGCAGGTGATTGATGGATAGGCGGCCCCAGCCACTTTTCAAAGTGGCCATAGAGGCTTGGTCACTACTGATTCAGGCCACTGACCAGAACCAGTTCCCTATCTCTGGTTTATAATATACTAGTAGACCTTAGGCTTCTATACTCTCTACTGAACATGTACAAACACAGGCCATTTTAAAATGCTTAAAATAAATAATTTAGGCAAATGCTTCATCTTTTTATATGGAATGTTAGCTATAATGCAAATAAAGGTATGAGTTTAAGATTACAGCATGCATCATGTAACTTGCAGAGAAAAGTAAACAGAGATCATACCCTCTCCGTAGATGCTTTTTGAACATTCAAAATTTTTACTCCAGTTGGCAAATGAAACTCGTGAGTATTATAGTCAGTGCTAAACAAAGTATTCTGAGTCCGTGGGTCAACAAATTCCATACCAATATCACTTGTAATTGAGGTTCCATTCTTTGCAACACTAAGTTTTGTTTCCCCTTGCTGAAACACAATCTGCAGGAAAAAATGAGATGTGTTGTGTTAAATGTAACAAAGGTAATCTGCTACTTTTACAGTGCTTGGTAGCACTGTGGCTTCCTGTCGACAAACAACTTAAGACTAAATATCTTTTTTTAATCAATGAATAAGTAGCTTGCAACAAATAAAAACAAAGCAACAATTTACAGGATCAGCAATACAAAAAATACTACCACAATGGAGAAAGCAACAGCAGCCAGCAACATAAAATCAAATTACCACCCTGAGAACATTTCCCACCAATCACAAATAAAACAAGCCAGGCTTTTAACCTAGGGTCTGAAAACATAACAGTGTTGGAGCAAGGTGGGCCTCCCTGGCGAGGGGAGAGTATGTATGTACTTCTACTATGAAAGTCCTGCTTCTGGTATGCCTGTCATACTTCATCGGAGAAGGATATCCGAAGTAGCAGCTCAGATGTTGAACGCAGTACACAATAGAAGATATACTTACTGGCTGGTTCTCTCCAACAATCACCAAATCCTCATTACGTCGACCTCCGACTGTGCTCTTATACAATGGATGTATAATTCCCATGTCAGAGTCTTGTTTAAATCGCAATAAGCCGCTATCATGAAACTCCATGCTGTCACAGCCGCTGGGTCCAATGCGAATTACAGTCCAGATGATGAGCGTGATCTAAAAGAGTAAATTAAATTTTTTAAAATGTAAGTAAATTCTGAAATTGTCATGCCAGTGCTTGGATCAGATACCTTTGAGAAGAACATGTTACTTGAAAACAGGCCCACAAAACTTTCACAAAGCTGAAAACAGCCCACCAGTCATGTATGCCAACCCACTAGATGCTCAATCAATCTCTGGTTTGCCTGGGACTCAAAACAAAATTCTGGTTGTCAGATTCCTGGCAGGCCACAATATTTAACTGGTGGGTTGTGTTCAATTTGGTGGCTCACAAACTGCGTGGTTCTAACTTAAAAGGAGGGCATCTTCATGCATGTGTGTGAAAGGAAATTCGACAACCAAAATTAAGGCACCAATCCTAATTGAACTCAGTGCTCTTTATAAGTATATATGATCAGACTGTAAATAATTTATATTTAAAAACAATACTTGTACTTCTTTAGTTTAGGATAGGGAAAAAAAAGCAGCCCAGTCTTAACTCTTAGCCCGCGTGACCATAGAAATTGGATTTTTGATCAGGATGCCAACCAAGACAGAGCATCCATCATTGTTGCCCGCTACTCCACTTGGTACCCCGAAATTAAGACCAATCACTCAAGGCCCTGTTACTTTGAGACTCTGACCTTCCCACAACTATGCAGGGCCTTTGTAGAACTAAGATTCCAACAGATGCCCTCAGCATATTTAGAGGGGATATATCGGGGAATGTTCCATATGGATCGCAAATGTATATATGGATGCAATCAGGTAGAGGACGTCACATGCTATCTGCTGATTTGCCCCCTGTATATAACACCCAGAGGAAAATTTCTATCACCAATTCTTAACTGGCTTCCAGGTCAATCGCACAGGAAGTGACAGTTGAATTCCTAGCAGATAAACATCTCTATATTACATACCAGGTAGCCAAATTTGTTCTGGCAGCCAAGAAGCTCTGTTCCAGCTATGTGAATGCACTCCAATCTTAAGTCTGAATGTTGTAAATTTCTTTTTATGTTGTAAACTACTACAGGTTGCATGTATGATTTTAGATGAAAGTTTCCTTTTATTCTGTGTCCATTGTAAAGGCCTTTGGCTATATACAATAAAAATGGGTTGATAATTCATAGTCTGGCACTGAATAATTAGCAATCCATTGAAAGGATGAAAAGCAGAAAATTGGTTAATCTCTACAGATCGTAAGAAAATTCTGCGATATATGTGGAGTGGATAAGTACATTTTTATCTTGAATTCACAGTACATCTTAGACTGCAATACAGAATGTTTACTAAGAAGCAAAATAGAATTTATTACCAGTTGTGGAGTATTTCTTTGACCTAATTAACTAAGACCTTTCCATGTATTTATTTTTAGGAATCCTTTTTTTCAAGCGTACTATGGACAGTTGGGTCCAAACAGATACACGTTACCATGTTGCCATTCGTCCTCTTAGTTTTAATAGGCATAAATGGCACCCAATGTTTATAATCTGCATGTACAGTTCCAAGTTTGGTTAGAAACCCTGCATATAGGTAATGAAGATAATTTCACTGAAAAGCAGCAATATTTGGAGCTTGCTTGGCACTAAAAAGGAGAAAAAAATATACCTTTAGAATTCTGTTGAGACATAATTAACCATGTATACACCAAAAACCAAATACACACAAGTTTTGTGCTCCTATTTCCCTTAGTCGTAGAAAGTTTTGAAGGTTTCAGTTAGCTTCCTTCCAGATGAGGAAGCATTGGTGATTATGCCTTTAGTAATACAGTACCGTATTTTTCGCTGTACAAGACACACTTTTCCCCTCCTAAAAAGTAAGGGGAAATGTGTGCGCGTCTTTTGAAGCGAATGCAGGCTGCACAGCTTTCGCTGAAGCCAGGAGAGCAAGAGGGATCGATCCCTCTTGCTCTCCTGGCTTCGCTTCGCTGAAGGGGCGCTGCGCAGCTTTCCCTCTCTGCGCAGTGCCCCTTCAGTGAAGCGGCAGGAGAAGTGGAGCCACTTCCATTTCTCCTCCCGCTTTGCTGAAGGGGCGCTGATCAGAGAGGGAGAGAACATTTTTTTTCTTGTTCTCCTCTAAAACTAGGTGCGTCTTATGGTCAGGTGCGTCTTATAGAGCGAAAAATACGGTATATTTCATTAAAAAGCTTGCAAATATACAGATTTAACAGTAAGTGGCAAGTAAACTGACATGTATACATGTCATACTAGTGTCAAATCAGCAGCATTCCATCACATGATTTCTCTTTCAGAACTTAGGGCTCCTTTATCTTCTTCCTTTCCAGGTCTCTTGACCCCCCCATACACCTCACTCTGCAGCCTCTTCCTAACCTGCAGCTGGATGTAAGCTGCCCATCCAAACAACCAGTGACCTGCTAGTTTGCTCGTTCTCAAATTCAGTGACCAAGCCATGCCAAAGATAAATAGAAGCATTGAAGAACAGCTTTGGTTCCTTGCATCTGGTTGGTTAGGCCCTATTTAAGTCAATAGAGCTCCACTTCTGCAAATATATTCACAGTGTTCGTCTAGTGCAGGGGTCTGCAACCTGCGGCTCCGGAGCCGCATGTGGCTCTTTTACACCTTTGCCACGGCTCCGGGGCGGATACTAGTGAGGGGAGGAGACGCATTGTGCGCCCCGACACTCCCCACTGTGGCGGGCGCTGTACTGGCTGTGACGTCGCATGGGGGCGGTGCGTGCGTTAGTCACGCACCGTCCCGACGTCACCTTCCCGCCCGCCCGCCCGCTACATTGTAAGGGGCATGTACGCTGGTCACTGCATTGAAAGGGGGCATGTACGCTGGTCACTGTTTTGAAGGGGAGTGAAGAACACACACACAAAAAAAGGTAACTTGTTAAGTTAACGTTTATTTCTATGAGGAGGAGTAATTCTGAGGGGTCAAACAAAGAAATAATAAAAAAGTGACAAAAAAGTTATTTTTATAATGACGAGTTTTGCGGCTCCCAGTTTTTTTTTCTTCGGAAACGGGCCCAAGTGGCTCTTTTTGTCTTAAAGGTTGCAGACCCCTGGTCTAGTGGTCTAACTTAACAATATAAGCACGATCACAGTATTTTGATTAGCTTGTTCTACTTACAATCAAATTGATGACAGCCAAAATAAACAGGAGGACTATCACACAAATGGCCAAGTTGCCTTTTCTGCCTCGCAAGCCAGTTTTGTGCAGACGATCTTCATCAATTGGAATATATCCAGCCTTGAAGTTACTGTTGTGTTCTTTGTTAATATTCCTCCGCTCCACAGCTTTCTCACGCATCGATTTCTTCACGGGACCATTAGAACTTTGCTAAAAATAATTTTAAAATAAGTTCCCCAAACGATATATTAAGTCCAACATATCCTATTCATAACAAGATGATATGAATTTTCATTTCTGCCACAATAGGATTTTCACAGTAGGAACTGTTTAAAAGAGCCCAACTTGTAAAGAAAATATTATTTGCAAAGTCTTGAGAATGTAGCTATACAGTACCGTGTTTGAATTTGCTGCAAAAGCAGTTACATTCAGCTGCAGCAGAGGACTGCTTCAGCAATAATAACAATAACAATAATAATAATAATAATAATAATAATAAAAGTTTATTTATATCCCGCCCTCCCCAGCCGAAGCTGGGCTCAGAGCGGCTAACAACATTAAAATGATACAACATTCTATAGTGACATTCCTATGTTGGATGCTACTCCTATGGGGGGGAGGAATATGAGTACACTTTTTTTGTTGCATGTATCTGTATATGCAGTGTAGCTCTTCACCCAGTAATTTCTCTGTAATAGAGCCAGGTTGTTCATATAAAATAACTACATAAACAGCTAAGCATAACTCCTAGCTACTACGAGTTATGTACTATGCTGTATACGCTGTGTACTACGCTGTACTGTATACATAAAGGCAATTCAGTTCCAAACATTCAAGCAAGTGTAAGAGGGAGTTTGAGATAGTAGCTGAGAACTGGAAGGGGCTGAGAGCCCAATTGTATGGTGCCAGGAGCCTCCAGGCTGTCACTATTTTGCCAGAGGGATTCAGTCGCACACCAGAAATTTTGGTTTCTAAAATAAAAGTGGACCAAAGGGCTATGTTGCAACAAATCCACTTTCTTTTAAAAAGGGCCTTTTTGCCGTTAGGAAAGTGATGCACCAAAAATGTGATAACAATTTGATTGATTGATTGATTGATTGATTGGAAGGCAAATAACATCCCTGTGAACAAATCAGGATGAATGATCAATAAAGAGTGGATACCATGCAAGCTTTGTGCAAGAAAATTGGATGAGTGCTCTATAAAGAGGTCATTTGAAGGAGCCCTTGGTCAAACCTTTTTTTTTGGGGGGGGCAGGGAGAGAGAGACACATACTAAAAGCACAAGCAAGATTTGCACAACACCAAATTGCTCCTGGACCAGAGAGCAAAGTCTTTAAAGCAAAAAGTTGTGCCCTTTGCTGTACAGTGGTACCTTGGTTTACAACCATAATCTGTTTCGGAGGTCCGTTTGCAAACCAAAACAGGTTGTAACCCAAGGCGAGCTTTTGCCAATGGGGCCTCCCCCCCCCAAATTGTTTGTAATTAAAAAAAAAAAAGGGTTGTAATCGAAAAAAAGTTGCAAACCGGGACACGAACTTCCGGGTTTGACGTGCTTGTATGCAAACTAAGACGTATGCAATCCAAGGTACCACTGTACTTGGTTCTGTGCCATCAAAACGTTTTCAGAGAAGATTATTATTATTATTTTATTATCTATTGAATTTATATACTCCACTTTGAAAGTCTCTGATCGTATTCCCCGGAAGTCTCCCTTAAATCCCTATATATGCTTTGCCCCCCTCCTAGTCCTCCAAGGCTAAGGAAAGTCCTGTCGTGGACTTCAACTCCCATAATCCCTGACCCATGGCCGTGCAGGCTGGGGCGGATGGGAGATGTAGTCCAACAGCTTCTCGGCACGCCATTGGTCGCTCCGCCCTCAAGCCTCCTTCGCGTTTGCTCGAGGGTGAAGCGACACTCAGTTGGATCCTCTGCGCGCAGGCGCAAGACGCTCCCTATCTATTTCTCCGCCCCCAGGCGGCTATTTTTGCTACGGCGCCCATTCACTTGGGAAGCCGCCGCCGCCCTCCCGAGCCTGTCAAACGGGCCTCGCGAGTCGCCTCACGCGCACTAGGGGGCTGGTTCTAATTTCAGAAAGCCGGGCGAAAGGCAGACATGATACGTGTCCAGGCGACAAATGCCACGAATAATGAGCTATTAATAAAAATAATAAAATAAGAAAGAGTAACGAATGTCCTGAGGGGAAAAGGGAAGGAGCCACGTAGGTTGGCGCGCCCGACTCCGCTGCTTCCCTGAGGCGGCTCGGCTACGGCAGAAGCCCGGGCGCCGCGTTCGGGTTGCCATATTTCAAAAGAATAATAATAATAATAATAATAAACCACCAGGATACCCCGCTTAGCAAATGCTCCGATAATTTCGGAGCTTTTACAAGGCACGGTTTAACCCCCGTCGCCGGTTTCATTGGCCCAGTTCCCGATCAAAAATATCCCGGGAGGACGTTCATTTTCGGAGGCGAATTCCGCGACGCGCCCTGAGGCGAAGGGGCCGGTTCGGCGCCGGCCTCCTTGAGCCGAAGCCGCCTCTTTCTTCCCCGCCCCGTTGATATCTGGGGACGGTAAAATGAAGGAGCGCGCGCGTTTCCCTCCTTTTCCCGCCCGAAGCCGGAGCCAGGCAAGGCGCCGGGGACTGACCTGCTCGGAGGTGATCGCTGCCGCTGAGGCGACCGCCATCTTGGACTCTTCTCGTTCCTTCCGCGGAAGGGAGAGCGAGGCTTGGCGCCTTTGGCGGAGGAGGAAAGGGGCGCGGGAGCCGCACCCGCCATGCCCGCTCCTTAAAAGGGACAAGGCGGCCGAGGGAGGGCAGGAGAAAGGCAGAGCCTCCGACATTTCTCTGAGGAAAAGAGGGACGTCCCACTCCATAAGGATAATCGTATCCCACACATCTTCTGGGGTTGCCTCAGCCACTCAGGGCGGCCTCCCACATGTATAAAAACATCATAAAACATTAATTTTTTAAAAAAATAAAGTTTGGTATACAAGATGGCCTTCAGAGGGCTCGGGGGTCGGATAACTCCCAGCATTTCTCCCATGAAAATAGAGACGTCCAATTCCATAATGACAATTTTATTATTTACACCCAGAAAAGACTCCCTGCAACGTTTGGTGGTGAAAACACTACGTTTCCCAGCACCCGAGAAAATGAGCCCTCTGCGCCCTAACCCCCAGGGTCAGGATTTCGCCAATAATCCGATATCGTCCGATTCACTCCAAAACGGTGCCAAACACCCAGAAAAGTCTCCCTTCAACTTTTGGCAGTGAAAACACTACATTGCTCAGAACCCCAGAAAATGAACCCTCAGCGCCGTAACCACCGGGGGTCAGGATTTCACCAAAAATCTGACTTCGTCCGATTCAGTTTAAAACGGCGCCAAGCACCCAGAAAAGGCTCCCTGCAATGTTTGGTGGTGAAAACACTACGTTTTACGGTTTCTCACAATTTTAGCCTCGCAGCCCTTATCTGTGGGGTCAAGAAAACCCAACATTGTCCAATGAACTCGAAAGCGATGCTAAACACTGGGATAAGGCCCCCTGGATGGTTTAGCAGTTTAAACTCTACATTTCACATCGCCCCAGTGGCGTAGCGTGGGTTGTCAGCACCCGGGGCAAGGCAAGTAATTTGCGCCCCCTAACCCGTGGATTTGCGCCCCCTAACCCTAACCCCCAGATGTTGCGCCCGGTGCGGCCGGCCCCCCTGCACCCCCCACGCTACGCCACTGCGTCGCCCCACAATATTAGCTCTCGGCGCCCTAACCCGCTGAGTCTCGGTTTTGCCAAAAAGCCTTCGTCATCCACTTGCAGCACCATATGCTGCCAGCGTTTTCAGCTGCAGACAGTTATTTCCCATATATTCAATAAACGTTTCCCAATCTTCTTTAAAGAAGATTAAAGAAAACACCTTTTTCTTTTAACCGGGCATGGGAACCTATGGCCAGCCAGAGGCTACTCTTGGTCTCTGACTCCCATCATTCCCAGTCTGCATGGCCAATGGCCAGGGATGCTGGGAACTGTAGATCGGCAAACAACACTCAAGAAAATGAAGCAGAGCTCGCCCCAGAACAGCAACAAAGGTATATATTTGCATTTGTGCATGGTAGAAAGAGCAGAGGCAATGGACAGGACTAATGGCTTCGCTCGAAGAAGGTTGTATTATATATTTGTGTCCTTGAAACCATGCTTTAGCTTCCTAGCCAGTCGGAATTTGGTTCTCATCCAGACATATGCAACGCTGGCATGAAGAAACATCATCCATCTCTCCCTTTCTGTACTTTTGACAATGGCCCTTTGTGAAATGTTGACTTTTAGGGAAGCTATTCAGTGGGGATTTTTTTGTGGGGAGGAACTTTGCGATGAAGGACAATTTAGATCATGCCATTCTCCCTTTGTTGGGTCATATCAGGAAACATAGGTGGCGGGGAGCTTATTGGAACCGTACTTTCTCCGTTTGGATCAGGCCATGTTCCTCAGAGAATCAAACTTCCATAAGTTTTTGTGTCCATTCTTCCTTTGCTGGTACATCTGCTTCTTTCCATTTTGGGGCCAGTAGCATTCTTGCTGCTGTAGTAGCATGCATAAATAAAAGTTTCTATACAGTTTGGGTAGTTCTGTCCCTATAATTCCCAAAAGAAAAGCTTCTGGTTTTTTAAAAGGGTTATTTTGAACATGGGTTTTAGAATCTTTCAAATTCTGTGCAGAACATTTCCTGATACAGTACTCATATTTACATGACCACCGCATACTGATCGGGGTTCCCTCCGCCTTGTGGCGCTTCCTGGAATGCCAGTTTAAAAGGCATGTTTTTCCAGCCTACAGAACTGACAAATTGGTGCAGCTGAGAGATCGGAGCTCCTTGTGGCCCGCTGCCAAGATGTCTTAACTGGAAAGTCTGACTGTAGGCCTTCTTGGCCTAAAGGAGTGGTGAAAATAAAAACAAAGCCCTGCATGGCAAATGCCTATTCTGCCTCCGAGCAAAAGCCAGAAGTGGCATTTCTGGTTTCGCTAGAGCCTTGCTGGCGGTACTCCTTAGTAGGAAATTGATGTTGGTGGTTGCATCGTCAAATAGCAGCAACCGTTGCTCACAGCCTAAATGTAGTGCACTAATGCAAGGTACGATTTATATCAGTGCACCTCCTAATGTTTGAAAAAATGTGCCAATTGTAGGGTGCTTGGCGTATTTACTGTGCAAAGACTTCAGAGATGTGCAGGATAGATGCTTTTTGAGCACAGGGCTGGGGACACGATAGTCCTCCAGATTATGCACACCCTCCAACATTTCTCCAATGAAAAAAGGGGTGCTCCAATAAATAAAAATACAGTGGTACCTCGGTTTTCGAATGTAATCCATTCCGGAAGACCATTCGTGTTCTGAAATGTTCAAAAACCAAAAACTCAACAGCTGACAGCTGGGCCTCAGGACATTGCACTCAGCGGAAGCCATGTGGCGTGTTCAACTTCCGAGGCATATTCGAAAACAAACATTTACTTCCGGGTTTACGGTGTTCGAAAACCGAAATGTTCGTCAACGGAGACGTTCGAAAACCGAGATATCACTGTAATAATAATAATATTTATAAGCCACCCATCTGATTGGGTTGCCCCAAGCTATGCTGGGAAGCTTCCAACATATATAAAAACGAAATAAAACATTTTAAAACTTCACTACATAGGGCTGGTACAAGGGTCAGGCAATTCCATACCCTCCAAAAGCTCTCTGATGAAAAGGGAGATGTCCTAAGGAGAAACAGGAAATTCTTGGATCAAATCAGAAATGGGAGCAGCTTCTGTAAATCCAGGACTGTCCCTGGAAAATCGGGAGGCTCCTTCCTCTGTTAATCTCTCCTTATTTAATGACAGGTAAAGGCAAGTTGTTGGCTCAGTGGATCCTTGGACGTAAATCAAAATTGGCGTCATGTTTAGAATGTTAAGACAGCAACAGAAGAAACTGCCTTCTGCTAGGGTGGGCCATTGTCCTACTCCTTCTTCTTTGGTGATCACTCGTAGCCAAATAAGATTGTCTTCCATAAGCACAGTTTTAAAAGTGAGTCCGTAAGTGACTGTGGAGACCAATTGTGGATGCACACGTCCTTCCACAGTGGGGACATAGGCTTCCAGGCGGGAGCTGATCCTGGTGAGGGTTTGCCAAACATGCTTTCCTCTTAGCTTGTTTCTCCCTTTTGTCCTGAGTTCGAGTGTCTTCAAAGCCCATGACACCTTTGGTAAAAGGTGTTCTCCAATTAGAGCACTCGCAGGCCGGTGTTTTCCAGTTGTTGGTGTTTATACTACTTTTTTTTTAGATTTGCCTTGAGAGAGTCTTTAAACCTCTTTTGTTGATCACCAGCATTATGCTTTCTATTTTTAAGTTGGGAATAGGATGGTTGCTTTGGAAGACGATCATCAGGCGTCTGAACAGCATGACCAGTCCAACAAATTTGATGTTGAGGAATTATTGCTTTGACACTGGTGATATTTGCTTCTTCCAGTACACTGGCATTAGTTTGCCAAGTGTCTTCCCAAGTGATGTATAAAATTTTTCGGAGACGCTGTTGATGTAATCTTTCGTGGAGTTGGAGATGGTGTTTATAAGTGGTCCATGTTTCAGAAGCGTACAGCAAGGTTGGTAGTGCGATAGCTTTGTGAACAAGCATTTTGGTTTCCCTGCGAATGTCAAACACTCTGCGCTTCAATCGAGAGAAAACTGCACTCACAGAGCTCAGGCGATGCTGGATTTCAGCTCAGTGCTGTCTGCACTGACTGCCTGGCAGCATCTGTCCAGGATTTCAGACCAGGTTCTCATCCAGCCTGCCTGGAAATGCTGCAGGTTGAACCTGAGACCTTCTGCACAGAAAAAAGATGCTCTAGCCACCAAGCTGAGGCTAAAGAGCCTGTTTCCTTACAGCTTCTTATTTTTACAATTTGTAGCTCGGAAGGAGAATAATTGGGCAAGTTTTATAGGTCTTGTAATGTTTTTGTTTTATTGCATTGCATTAGAGCAACATCATAATTAGAGGCTTGTTATTGGTGTTACCAAGGTACTCTTGAATAGCTCCGCCTAATATAAGAACCGGTTTATCTCTGACATTTCTAAACTGCTTACCTGGAGCTGACATGATTACAGAGACATGCCCTCTAACTGTACCTAGAGGTTACAGTTTCATATGGGTGGGGTAGAAAATGTGCCAAAGATTGTATTAAAACTTTGAGGACGGTCACATTCTTACAGTTTTCAAGGCGAGGCGAGGCTGCTTTACCTGTAAATATGAGGTAGCTGAGCAACCCCCTCTCTTTTATCTCTTTTTTCACTTCCTTCTTTTAGCAAACAGTTTCCCGGAACATTCTGTCCAAGCAACTGGGCTGTTGTGAGCGGCCAAACCAGGGCATGAAATGGCAGCAATGCATTTGCGCTGGCAGCCCGGAAGCACTGTTCCAGCTATGTGATTGCACTCCGAATTTAAGCCTTAATGTTGTGCATTTCTTTTTATGTTGCAAACTGATGCAGGTTACGATTTTGGATTAAAGTCTCCTTTTATTCCCTGTCGTCCATTGTAAAGGCCTTTGGCGATACACAGAAAAAATTGATTTGGGAAATGCCCATCTCCTTATAGGGAAGCCACAGAGAGTTGTGCTTGCCCCAAGTGCAAGGCCTGTGCCCTGTCTCATCCAAACAGGGTGACATTTAGAAAAGCAACAGCAGAGGGCTTGGGAATCTTGGACTGGTCATGTTGTTTGGATGCCTGATGATCGTCTTCCAAAGCAACTACTCTATTCCGAACTTAAAAATGGAAATCATAATGCTGGTGGTCAACAAAAGAGGTTTAAGGACTCTCTCAAGGCAAATCTTAAAAAATGTAACATAAGCACCAACAACTGGGAAACACCTTCCTGAGAGCGCTCCAACTGGAGAACAGCCTTTACCAAAGGTGTCATGGGCTTTGAAGACGCTAGAACTGAGGACAAAAGGGAGAAACGTGCTAAGAGGAAGACACACTTGGCAAATGCTTACCATGATCAACTCCTGCCCGGAAACCTATGTCCCCACTGTGGAAGAACATGTGGATCCAGAATTGGCCCCCACAGTCACGTACAGGCTCACTCTTAAGACCGTGTTCATGGAAGACAATCTTACTTGGCTACGAGGGATCACCAAAGAAGAAGAAGACCTGCAGCCAACATCAAGGCATACCTCATAGCATTTGAATGAGCAAATGGCTAAGGTGAGGTCAGATGTGATCTATGATCGGAGCCTGGGAGAAGCCCAGTGTAAAAATCGGGAGGACCCAGAGCTGTAGCTAGGGAGTGGGGCTAGCTGGGGTTTCTTTTGCCCCAGGTGAAGTCTCCAGAGGGGCTCCATTGAGGCTCCCAGCCTGCGCAGGTTTGTGCCAAACTGGGTCTTTGACCCGGGTGAAATAAAGCCTCATTTTGCCCTGAGGAGGACCTATGCCTTGGATTCATGTTTTTGTGGCACCATCTTCCTTCTCCACCCAAACGCTTTCTCAGAATCCCATGTGTGTTCCCCAAACCAGGACCCCTAGGCTGCCACCTAAGTCTACAATTTCCTGCTCAAATGCTTCCGTCGCACTCAGTCTCAGTTTCACTTCCCTAATGGAAGATATTACTCAGGAGGAGCTGCCAAACACAGAGGAGCATGAAATGCCCATTTCCCCCTTTGAACTGGTCAGATTTCTGAATGTGCTTCTCTGTGGATTTCATTAGCAGGCTGCTGCACACCTGAAAACGAATGCACTCAGAAGCCACCTCCTCCATAGAAGTCAATGGATATTTCTGGTGCACAAAGATCTCCTGCATCAGTCTGAAAATGATTGCGGGAGGGACGGAGGGGTTTCCATTAGAAAAAAAAGTATGAACATTGCTTAAGTGTAACCAGGCAGATTGCAGAATGGCTATTCCTAAATCTCAAACTGAAATGAAAACATGTTCAAAATACAATGGAGGAAATATGACTTTATATTAATTTGTACTCAAATCTGCCATCAGTTCAGAGAAACTAGATGTTAGGGAAAATCCTTGATGTCCTCCTAGCCCAAACAATAGTTATTATTGCTAGTTGGTATTCCAACAATTTGTTATTAATCAATAAGTGGTTTCTTCAGTTTTGTACATGAATCTTGGTTTCACTTTGGCTACCTCTGTCCTTACCAAAAATATATCAAATCCAAAGCGTTTCAATGCTATTCCAAGTCAAAAAATAGAAAAGAGTAAGGAAGGCAAGGGTTGCTTCAGACCTCTTCATTGTTGCACAAATGTGCCCTTGCTGAAAACTTAATTCTCTCATTTCTCATCTTTCACAGAGAGAAATGTTGTAATCTGCAAACTACCAGGGACTTATCTGCATTACAGACTTAAACTGGTTCAACAGCTATGCCTTCTCCTCAAGGAGCAGTAGCTCTGGACAAGAGTCTAAAGATCTCTTGAACCCCTCTCACAAACTACAGTTCCCAGGATTCTTGGGGGGGGGGGGAAGCCATGACAGTTATCCAGGCATATGTGTATGCAAACTACAGAAATTTTGAGCATAGCACACAGGCCCCTGCGCTCATACAAATGATAAAGCAATTTTATGTAATCTCTGCTCACTCAAAAATTCACTGCGGATTATTCCCAGGTAAATACAATCTCATGAATTTGTTGTAGGGATTACTATAGTAATATATGTGAAAGTCCTTGAACGCTCCAAAGTACCATACAGTACAATCCTATGCCACCTGGGATAGCTCACTCAGCAGAGCACAAGACCGTTATTCTCAGGGTAGTGAGTTCGAGACCCATGTTGGGCAAAAGTTTCCTGCTTTGATGGGGGTTGGAATAGATGATCCTTACGATCCTTTCCAACTCTACAATTCTATGATTCCCCTGTATTCATAAGGAATCTGTACAACTAACTGTGGAGTATAATAATAATAATAATAATAATAATAATAATAATTGCAACATCATCATTGATGATGATGATATTCTTACAATTTCAGATCGGGAAAGGAGGCAGCATGGGGGGAAGACTAAGGCTCCAACTGAATGAGCTGCCTCTTCCTAAGGCTGTTTCCTCCTTCCCTTACCAGATCACATGGCAAAGTTCTCCCAAAATTTAGGGGACTTTCAAAAGCAGCTTGCTGTTCAAAGCGGGTAGGCAGAGAGCCCGAGATCCCCATAGGCACAGCCAAACTTGCATGCCATATGTCTGGGTCTCCTGGACATGTCCTGAAATCAGCCAGCAAAAGGGCGTCCGGGTGGATTTTCGGCAAAACGTCTGGGAAAACCTCGGACGTATGGCAAGTAGGGTGATTTTTTTATTTTAAAATTCCCAAAGTCCCAAAATGATTTTTTGGGGGGAACTGTTCCCTCAAAAAAGCTCAACAACTTTTAGACCAAAAAAAAAGGACAACAATTTTGTCTGGATTTTCCCTTTGGGGAATATGGCAACCCTAGAAGACACTGAAAAGTTGCCCTATTGGTCCCCACTGATAGAACCAAACAATGCTTTTTTTCTGAGGGTACACAGGGGTACGCATACCCCTAAACAGTTTGTGAATCTTTGTACTTTTGTCCATTTACTGTATTTATTTTCCCCGATTTGAACTATAAAATGGTGATTTTCTTGAGTCAAAATGAGAGTACTGTACCCCTAAACATTCTTTTAGAAAAAAGAACCAGAACCAGTCATTCAAAAGAATGAAGCCGTAGCATTTTTCCCTCCCCCCGGCCCTGACCTCCGTTGCATAATAATGCAAGCAGGAATTACTGCTTTCAGAAATATTTCTGATGGTGGCTGCTTCCTCTTCTGCAGCAGCGTTGGTTTTGAGTCACGGATTCTGTCGAACAAGATGCATGTGGCAGGATGAGATTTTGTGCTTTGCACAAACTCATCAGGTCAGATTCGCCTCAAAACCGTAGGTTGTGTGTGTGTGTAATGTCAGATGGATGGCGTATACCTGGATTTCTATAACCCTCAGTGTTTTGTTTGGAGGGCTCCAAGCAACTGTCAAGAGAGATCAGAAGGACTTACTTATTGTTTCTCAACTAGTTTCCCTTTTTGTTTCTTTTCCAAAAACTGGAAGTAGCTTTAGACTGAGGGGTGGGGTGCATTTTTAGTTTTATTTAGCCAGATAAACGGTTGAAAGTGGATAGAAACAATCAAATTGTCACAATCTCTGCTCCAACCTCCAATGGTATCAACGACTTCAGGTGTGCTATAACACCAGGTGAGTACAACAGAATCATTCCCCCCTCCCGCGATGGAATTCATGACATTCTAAGGGTGGGTACTCCAGATTGCATAGGTAAAAAGGTAAAGGACCCCTGGACGGTTAAGTCCAGTCAAAGGTGACCATGGGGTTGCAGCGCTCATCTTGCTTTCAGGCTGACGGAGCTGGCGTTTGTCCACAGACAGATTTCCGGGTCATGTGGCCAGCATGACTAAACCAATTCTGGTGCGACGGAACACTGTGACAGAAGCCAAAGCGCATGGAAAAGCTATTTACCTTCCCGCACAGCGGTACCTATTTATCTACTTGCACTGGTGTGCTTTCAAACTGCTAGGTTGGCAGGAGCTGGGAAAGAGCAACGGGAGCTCACCCTGTCACTGGGATTTGAACCATCAACCTTCTGATCAGCAAGCCCAAGAGGCTGAGTGGTTTAGACCACAGCACCACCCGTGCATAAAGTGAGCTTGTCAACAATCCTTGAAATCAGGATTGAATAAAATAAAATATTCACACCCCCCCCCTAAAAATTTTATAGGGGGAGCTTGGCTCCTAGGCTGGCAGCAGTTCCCATTGAACTATCTATGGCCATATTTCAAACAGTGAAAATCTATACAGAAAAGTTGTTGAACTTGCTTCAGCAAAATCGCAAGGGGAGAAAAGATGCCATTACGTCTGGATTTTCCCGGACATTTTTCTACACGGACTAGACTATTTAACTACTGTACCTGCTTCACACATCCCCAGTGCAGTGCACCCCCCAAATATATATATATGTACACATACACACACACTGGGAACCATAGTTCAGGGGTGCTGGGAATTATAGCTCTGGCCAGGGATCAAATGCAGTTCCCAATATTCTTCTTTGGGGTAGGTGGGTGAGCTTTCAGATGACTATACAGTAACAAAAGATCTTCCTGATTGAGATTCTACACATCATTTGCTAACCTTTTCACTGCCTGATAGAGGAGTAGAATCTCCATCTAGAACAAAGGGGTGGTAGCAGCAGTGCTTTTTTCTGGGGGTATGCAGGGTTACACATAGCCCTAAATATTTGGTGAATCTTTGTACTTTTGTCCATTTACTGTATTTATTTCCCCTGATTTGAATTATAAAATGGCACTGGGTGGTAGTAATACTGGAATAATCATTCCTTTGCAAAACAAACAAACAAACAAACAAACAAACAAACAAACAAACCAGAATTGGTGGATGTTATGTGCTAGCAACTCTTTACTGTCTTGTGTAGTTTTACCCTTACGTTGAATAACCTATACGCCTTTGCTACGGTCTGAGGTCTAACCTGCATTTGTGATTTTCCAGAATGTGAAAAATGGCATGAAATTGTCGCAATCAGGGTTGCCATATTTCAAAAACCAAGACATCCTGAAAGTTGTCAAGCTTCTTTTAGGAGACCCCCAAAGTTGTCAAGCTCTTTTAAGGAGCAACACCTTTTGGAAATCCGCCCCTCCCCTGGATGTCAATTCCACCTTTAAAATCCCAGTAATGTCCAGGGAAATCCGGACGTATGGCAGTCCTAGTAAAGACATCCTCACCCCCTCTCTGGTGCGTACAGGAAATAAAAAAAGGCAATGAGAAACACAGCGAGGGGAGCAATGTCCTCACTGTGTTTTAAACAGCTAAGGCATACATAGACCAATATTTTCCACCAATTGCTACACACCGAATTGCCAATGCAATGGTCAGGGATGATGGGAACTGTGGTCCAAAATATCTGGAGTGCACCAGGTTGGGGAAACCTCTCATGGAAGCAAGGCCATATGGAAAAGATCCTCAGAACATGCCCTTAGTATTCTGGTGTGTTCTTCTATGGTCCAAGTTTTATTTCATCTATTTATTTATTTTTATTATTAAGGGAAACCCCCAGAGTTTTTTTTAGACAACCCCCAAAGTTGTAGAGCTTTCTTTAGTACAAAGGTTTTCTAGTTACAGAGCTTTTCTACTTCTTCTTCTGGCCTTTTTGGCACAATTGCTGCTTTCCCAGGACGCTGGGGGAATCGTCTGGGATGCTGTTTTTGGGGACGTGTCCTGGAAAATAGGGATGCCTAGCAGCCCTAGTGCACAGTTATCTACCTTGCTGAAACAGCAAGGACGATAAACTGGCCTTCGGGCAGCTAGCCGAACAGGATAAAATTTCAGTTCAGATTTATGGGAAGTTGTTGCTGGGGGGGGGGGGAATCTGGTTTGGTGAGTTTGAAGGCTGGGAGTAGACAAGAGACAACCTCGCTACTGTGAAGAAAGGGAACTGTCGGGGCGGGGAAGGCCTGAGACCGACATTTCCCACAGCTTCAGCAAAAGAGGCAGAAGACTTAAGTTCTGGAAGCGGAATAGCTTAACTTTAAGGCTTTATGCCCAGTCAGGAATTTGGTCTAACCGATTAGCGCTCCTTTTCGCCTTTCTGGAATGCGTCTTTCAGGCCCATGAGAAGGGAGGGTTTTTTCTTCTCTTTGGGTTGGCTCATTGCAACTTTTTCGCCTTTCCAGTCTCCAGAAAATTGCCAAAGGACGAGGCGAGTGGTATCTCAACACTTCTCGTCTGAACAGGCCAACACACCTGCAAATGCAAAAAGATGCATTAACTCGCTGTCCAGATTTTCCGGATTCCTGCAAAGGCTGCTAAGCTGACTTTCCATCCAGGTAGGCAGACTTATTGGTGCCGTTGTGTGGGCTTTGAGGCTCCTGTCTTCTCATCAAACTACGCTTTCCATTCTTTTATTTTTAAGTTTCCAGTTTTGCATTCTTCTGCAGCTGTTCTTTGAGATTTCCAGGACAGCCTTCCCTGACAGCTCTTTGGACTTCTTGCTTAGCTGCATATACCTTAATTCCTTCCCCTTATTTCCCATGTTCCCATAAGTTTAATATTATCAGCTGCTGGTCACAAGGTATTGTCTACCTGGAATTTATTTCCGAGATCAAATTTCTGCAAGGTATTCCCTACTCGTCAGCTTGTCAGCTTGATTTCTTATTTTCGATGCCATACTTGCAAGCTCTGCATGTTCCGTTAGTCTGCTTCTTAAGCTATGTTATTGGGATGATAAACTGCTTTTTCTTTTTTCTTTCTTGGTGTGTGTGTGTGTGTGTGTGTGAGAGAGAGAGAGAGAGAGAGAGAGAGAGAGAGAGAGAAGGTAAGGTCGTGTTCTTTCTTTTGTTTTAAGAGAAGAATCGGCTGACCTGCTCGACTCAAACTTTAAGAATTCCTAAGTGAATAAACCCACCTTTGTGCCCTCCTGATGAATAAAGGGTTGCTGTAGCTCAAAAAGTAAAAACCAGGACACCCCCAAAATGGTTGAGGTTTTTAATTTTTTTTGGAAACCATCAAAATTGTCAAGCTTCTTTTAGACAAACACCAAAGTTGCTGAGATTTATTTTTTTTAACAATAATGCCCAAAGTTTGGACGAGTAGCAACCCTAAATTAGATCTGAATGACAATGTATCTATAGCATTGTATTATAAGAAGAAAAACACCCCCCAAATTGTTGAGATTATTATATACATTTTTAAGGAAAACTCACAATTTTCTGATTGGCTTGCCTGAGATCCAGGACAAAGCGCCGCAAAGTCACCCCGGACGTCAATTGCACCTTTGAAATCTTGGTAAATGTCCGGGAAAATCCGGATGTATGGCAGCCCAAACAAACAAAGAAACAAATCCCTTTAGATCAGTACTAAACCCCGATATTAAATCAACACTGAAAATAAAGTAATGCTTGGTATGTTAACAAGATAATTAATATCCTTTCTCAGGGTTAACAAAAGACTTAGCAGCGTGTTTCATAGAACAAAATAGCCTTGAAGCTTATCTGAGATCCTAAACCCAGCTTGGCTGCGATTATGCCCCATTGAATTCAACAGGACTGCATGTGAGTAAATGTGGTTATTAGTACTGCACTGTGATTTTAAAGGGGGGGAGTGGATTTTTTATTTTTTATTACCAGCGGGCTTGCTCTGACTGATCCATTTGGTTAGAAGTGACTTTGGCTGCAATCCTGCACAGTATTATAAGCTTCCATATTATGCAAGCTTATTACCAAGTAAATATTTATAGGATGGTCCTATAAAATCCCAAAGACTCCAGTGTGACCAGGGTAGGATCTGGGCTATCCTTATGTAGATGAATTGTATTGTTTATTTCCAGTTTCCTGAATTAAAATCCTAACAGGAGGAAGGCAACGCAATGATAAAATCTAGATAATGAGCATTATTTCATCTCAAAACATGCCCTTAATTCTACCGCATCTGTTAATTGAGGTCATCTAAGTCGTGTTTCTGTACAGATATGTTGGCTCTAGGAATGTTTTGGATCTCATAGCAGAGTGAGCTTTCCTGCTTTCCCCCCCTTCTTTCAAGTTATCTTGGACAGTTGCACAGCAAGTGCCCTTTTTTTGTTTTAAAGAGAAGGAGACCGGCTTACTTGATTTCAAGGGGAAAACAAAACTATTTGGTCTGTTGCAACAAATATGTAGCAAGTCGTTCTGCTGTTATGAGTCCTGTGATTTCCCAAGTTTTTGCAACCTTCTTTTCCCTCTGTATGCAAGTGTGGGATACAGGTGCCAGACTGCAAGGGTGGAAAGATCATGCACGGTTTAAGCAGAAACTTAAAAACAGAATACAGCTTACACTGTGGGAGAGGAAAACAAGATAAGAGCAGAAATATGCTGTTTCTTATACTCCCCCCCCCTTTCCTGGGAGAGCTTTATGGGCAAAATGAAAACGCTGTCTAAATATAAATGGAGAAGGAAATGTTCCTGTGTGTTTGTAATTCCCCCCACACACTCGTATTTTCCATACAAGTTAACACAGAGGTGGTAGCAGCAGCCCAATCTACCATCATTGTGTGATTTCAACCCATTGCACTTTTCACTTGTGATCAAAACATTACAAAAGTCATGCATTCGTCTCGATTTGGACAGGGTGCTGTTGACTAAGGCCGATTGGATTCTGGTTAAGTGTCCACTTGTGAAAGCTTCTGCGTGCGATTGTTTCACCACCTCAATATGACTTGGGGACTGTCTGTCTTTGGATTGAGCCCATTTTGTGGAGCATATGCCTGGCGAATTTCTTTACAAGAAGTTTTGCGTGCATCTCTGTGACCTTCTGGTGTGAGGCCGGGTCCTTGGAAAGGAGCCCGGTCACCCCAAGAGCAACGTCATGTGTTTGAAAAATGGCATGCAGAATGAGATGCCTTGATTCCTGTGTCCCGTGCAAAAAGGACAGTGTGTCCTTTGGGGTTTTCTAAATTGTGTTTCACAAAGCACTGCTGCAAAAACAGCTACTGCTTCTCCTCCGAAAAGTATTTTTGCTTAAAAACCCATTTTTTAATGGCGTGACCTCTCTCCCCCAATACCTAATAGATAAAAATCTGATGGAAGATACACTTGTTTTATGCATCTGGGCTTCTTGCAATGTATTCTTGCATATGTTTTTCCATACTCTGGCAAGTTGTAGAGACAATATCTGTGACCCCATCTTTCCAGGCAATGATTTCAACAGCAGATTCACCTAAGAGTTTGTTCTACCATGACCTGAGCAATCGTAGGAAGCCACGTTGTAGCTGTTAAGGTATATTCATACGAGGTTATTTTATTGGCTTTGGGTTTTCCAGTATCACATGGTCAAATGTATACCACCCTAGCATAGTGCTGCAAACCCATTAATCATTTTCAGCCTGTCATTATAAAAGATGTGGGTTTTATCATACTAAGGCTGAAATCAGTAGTCATTTCAAGTAAGACATGGTTAGGCTCACATGTTTCTGGGATAAGACCCCAATGAACATAGTGGAACATCTCATGAGCGTGAAATCAATGCGACTTAATTTGATTAAAATATGTTTTATTAGTGGGTTGTGCCTCCCCCTCTGTGCTGAAAGCTTTCCTCCATTTACAGCATTATCAATATGTGATTTTTATGTAGCAATAAGCCTGGAATCCTAAAGACACATATTAGGGAATAAATCCCCTATGCTCAGTGAGGCTTAAGCACCCTTCATTCAGGCTATAAGTCTGACAAGTCATTCAGGAGCTCATGAATGGTCTTTCTGACATAATTTATGCTTGTATTTTATATAATAAGAGTCTGTATCTTTGTATTTAGATGCTTGCTCCATATTTTTCCCTATATAACATGGGAAGAGGGACGGTCCTTTTATTTGTTTCCAGTCAAAAGGACTCTCTTAAGAATTTCTTTCCCCTTAGACTTTCTCCTCTTCCATAATAACATGGTTCATGGTACACCTAGCTCTTGCCAAGATCAAACACATCTTCTCAGTATCTTTGTCAAGATAAAGTCAGCTTTGTGTAGCTGGAACCTAAAGGGGTTTGGGTGACACAACATCTTCAAACAAGCACAATAGCTTCTTACTAATTGCAAGGACAACAGACATTCTAAGATCTGGAGGTAGTTTTTATAAGAGTACAGTAAGCTCTCTCATTCAGTTTTCTTGATTATCTTAATTGATAGTGCCCTATCATGTTTATTTGTGTAACAATTCTAAGCCATTTTTCATGCTGATGGATTCCAGGGAGATATACTGCAATCATCATCATCATACCATATAATAAATAATCATATCACACATCCTTCATACAAATAAAACTGAGAAGTAATAAAACTATCAGTAAGGTGGAAGCTTACTGATAGATTGGGTTGGTCAGGGTTGGTTGAAAGACAGATCATTGGCCAATTCTCGGTCAATGATCAAAGATTGCTGGCATTTTTACTAACAATTTGCTAAGCAAGACCTTTCTTATTTTCTTCTGTAAGAGGGGAGACCCAGGATCACTTAATATATGTGAGTTATGCCTTAAAACAATTTAGAGATCCTGTGGGTTTTGTTTTGGAGTTTTTTTGGTAAAATCAAATCTCATTGGTGGATCATGGGATACTAGAAAATAACTAGACCCTACAAGACTGAAATCACCCCACCTGTAGTGATTAGCTATTATTCTGCAAGCATTTTATCAGTCTCGTTTTGTATTTTAAACAGCTTTATTTGTATGTCGTTAGTAATGGACTTGCAACGATCTATGGCTGGTCTGTTAAACAGAGCTCCTGTTCATCCAGACTTCCAAAGAGCCAAATAATCTGTGTGTCTTCTTCTCCTACCCATCTCCCCTTACTTCAGTCCTGTGGTCGGGAAAGGTTCTACATCTTTAATTTTACCTTTGATCTGGCTGGCTGGGTGGCATGTTCTGCTGGAATTGTCCTGCCTCTGCTGGAGGCAGGAGAAAACCGATAAATTCCTCCCAGCTGCCCTGTTCTCGAGCTACAATGCAACCATCAGATAACAAACCCCTTAAATCTCTCCCCTTTCAGTTGTAATTGCAAGCCGGAGGTAGGCGGGTCTAGATCCTATTTACCAAACCCGACAGCATTCCAGCAGAAGCTCACCTTGCCAAATCGGCTCTGAGTCCTAAGTTATAATGTAAAGAACTAATATTCCTTTAGAAACCGTAGAGGTGCATGGAGCTAAAATGGAATGTTAGTGCTCTTCAACATGCACAAGCAATGCTGCTTTAAGCTTGCTTGTAAACGTAAAAAAAGAAGAAGAGTTTGGATTTGATATCCCCCTTTATCACTACCCTAAGGAGTCTCAAAGCGGCTAACAATCTCCTTTTCCCTTCCTCCCCCACAACAAACACTCTGTGAGGTGAGTGAGGCTGAGAGACTTCAGAGAAGTGTGACTAGCCCAAGGTCACCCAGCAGCTGCATGTGGAGGAGCGGGGACGTGAACCCAGTTCACCAGATTGTGAGTCCACCGCTCTTAACCACTACACCACACTGGCTAAAGGACTTGGACAGTTAAGTCCAGTCAAAGGTGACTATGGGATTGCAGCGCTCATCTCACTTTCAGGCCGAGGGAGCCAGTGTTTATCCACAGACAGCTTTCCGGGTCATGTGGTCAGCATGACTAAACCGCTTCTGGCGCAACAGGACACCATGATGGAAGTCAGCGTGCACGGAAACACCATTTACCTTCCCGCTGCAGTGGTACCTATTTATTTACTTGCACTGGCATGCTTTCGAACTGCTAAGTTGGCAGGAGCTGGGACAGAGCAACGGGAGCTCACCCCATCACGGGATTTTCAACCACCAACATTCTGATCAGCAAGCCCAAGAGGCTCAGTGGTTGAGACCACAGCGCCACCTGCTTGCTTGTATTACTTTGAGCCAATAGAGGATCCTGCAAAGCAGTTGGGGAGAGCAGAGTCTGTATAAACCAGGTCTTGTTCCCTTTCACCAGGTTTTGTGTAATCTGCGTGAGCGAGACACTTTTGGCACCTTTGTAAAAAGTACGGCAATCTGACACACTGACTACAAAATATAATTTGCAATCTAATTTAAAACAATGATGATAGCACCATGGAGGAAGTGAAAACTAGGAGGGAAACTTCCATTCCCATCAGAGAAGGAGGATTGTGCAAGCAGGGTGAAAGAACGCACTTGGTTTTCAGTTTCGTGGCCTCTAAATGAACTGCCCAGGGCGCATAATGCAAAGAACAAAGCTGGAGGGTGGGGAAATGCAAAGTGAATCCCGAAGCACATGGAGATGGCACGCCTTCTTTCAGAACAGGTCTTTCTGACTCCTCTAGAGCTCCAAACTGGGTAGGAGACTCCTCCCAGTAGAGGCTAGTTTTTTGGGGCAAGCAGGCCACTGCCCTCCAAGTTCAATCTATCCTCCTACCAGCTTGTCTTTTTACCTACAACCAATCCAGAACAGGGCAACCTGCCAGCTACTCCCTCCTTAGGGTTGCCCTGTAGACTTCTTCTTCTTCTCTGGTGATCCCTCATAGCGGAGTAAGATTGTCTTCCATAAACACGGTCTTAACAGTGAGTCCGTAAGTGACTGTGGAGGCCAGTTCTGGATTCACACGTCCTTCCACAGTGGGGACATAGGTTTCCGGGTGGGAGTTGATCACGGTGAGGTTTGCCAAAGGTGCCTTCCTCTTAGCTCATTTCTCCCTTTTGTCTTGAGTTTGAGCGTCTTCAAAGTCCATGACACCTTTAGTAAAGGCTGTTCTCTAACTGAAAAGCTCGCATGCCTGTGTTTCCCAGTTGTCGGTGTTCATACTACATTTTTTAAGATTTGCCTCAAAAGAGTCTTTAAACCTCTTTTGTTGACCACCAACATTACGCTTTCCATTTTTAAGTTCGGAATAGAGTAGTTGCTTTGGAAGACGATCAACAGGCATCCGAACAGCATGACCAGTCCAGCGAAGTGGATGTTGAAGAATCATTGCTTCGACACTGGTGATCTTTGCTTCTTCCAGTACACTGGCATTAGTTCGTCTGTCTTCCCAAGTGATGTGTAAAAATTTTCAGAGACACCCGTTGATGGAAGTAGTACTTATCAGGGAAGAAGATGGGGACAAAACTAGAATTAGCTGGCTCCTACCTATCACCAGCTCTTGGCTCCACATACCGTTGGGCTCCCTGGCTTCTGTCCCACCAGTGCCAAGTGGCATCAGCCACCACTGCCACCCCACCCATTTCTTTTCAAGTGGACATATCTGAGACTGTCCTCCATTACAAGGGGTTGGACTCTTAAGGCCCTCATGACCCCTTCTGACTGCATGATTCTACGATTCTGTGATTCCTCCCACTTTGAAACAATCTCCTTCTCCCCTCCCACAGGTCACCGGTCTGTTCTCTGGGTAGAGTAGGTAAGGTCTGAGTTCAGGTTAGCACTCACTTAGAACAGCTTCTAGAGCCTTGCATGGTAGAACCCTTTGCTCCCAGTGAGTATGGAGCATGGAAATAACCCTATCAGCACTTACCTGGAATTAAGACCAGTTGGTCCCATAGGGTTTACTTCTTAGCAGACATGTTTGGGATTGCCCTGTAAAAGGATGCTTACTGTCGTGCAATAAAATATCCCCTTCTCAAAGAACTCTGAACTGGTTGCAAGCCCAATACATATATGCATACATACATACATACATACATACTATACCGCCCAATACCCAGGGGTCTCAGGGCGGTTCACCGAATAAAATCAAGATGTAAAACCACAAAATACATAATAAAAATAAAAACAACAACCCAATAGCCGCCCCCATAAAAACACATTTTAAAAGGGCATAGGATGTTGATAGGATCAACCAGGTTTGCCTGGTTAAAATGCAGCGTTTTGCACCTAAAGGTGTCTAATGAAGGCACCAGGCAAACTTCCCTGGGGAGAGCGTTCCACAGATGGGGGGGGGGCACTGCAGAGAAGGCCTGTTCTCGTGTTGCTACCCTCCAGACCTCTTGTGGAGGGGGTACATGAAGGAGAGCCTCAGAAGATGATCTCAGGGTCCGGGTAGGTTCATATGGAAAGAGGCGGTCCTTAAGGTATTGCGGTCTTGAGCCGTTTAAGGCTTTATAGGTCAAAACCAGCACATTGAATTGGGTCAGGAAACTAATTGGTAGCCCATGCAGTTGGACTGGGATTGGTGTAATATGCTCAAACCATCTTGCTCCAGTGAGCAACCTGGCCGCAGAATTCTGCACCAGCTGAAGTTTCCGAACCGTCTTCAGAGGCAGCCCTACATATAACGCATTGCAGTAATCTAACCTTGAGGTTTCTTTTACGTGGGTTGCGGAATCTGCATTTAGAGCTGATGTAGTTTGCTTCATAGCAGATGCCCATTTCTTGTGGAAGGGGCTTCTTGCCGGGTAGGGGCAGAGCCACTGTGCTAGCTCCCCAGCAAGTAGGTTGGCATAGCTTCCCAGGAGGGGGCAGATGACAAGGAAGTTGGCATGGTGCAAACACATTGCAGAGCCAATCTGGTGCTCCCGCTGGCACTTTTTCACCATGCTGACCTCCCTGCTCCCGGTCAGCTGCACTGACTCACCTGTAAGCTAGCGTAGCATGTACCCCCCATCCATGTAAAAAGCCGCTTCTGATTCTTGGGATATATTGAAATCTCTGAAGCACAATGATTTGTGGATTCTGCTCCTTCTCTTGTAGGGTTTGGTGCTTCTTCTACTTAGCTGCAATATTTTTGTACATTCGCTATTGTAATTTGGGGACCACTTGCCACTGTAGCTTCTCACTCACAAAACTTGCAGTTGGTTGCCTGTTGACCCATCTACCTGTCTGCCACAAGCTGCTTTCATGGTCTACTCTGCTGTGATTGCAAACGGCTGAGAAATTAAATGGTTCAATACGGGTAATGATATATTTATAACCGTTATTTTTTATTTTTAAGAGTTATTTTATTTTTAAGAGTTATTTTTCCAAATAATTATGGTTGTAATGGTTGGAGTCAGATGCCAAGGCTTGTCTGCTTCCCTGATTTCCAGTGTGCTTTAAAAGGCAGCTGAAATATATTGCATACATTTCTAAGGTATTTCCCCATGTAAACTCCCACCATTATTCTTTGGCAAATAATAGGGGGTTTAAATGCTTTCAAAAAGGAGAATAGGTTCTGTTTTCCTCCTGCTTAGTCAATGCGGTCGATGAGCCATTTGAGTCATGCCTGTACACATTTGAATAGTCTCTCCACAAAACCACGTTTTTATTTTTTGTTTTTAATTTCCTTTTGCTCTTAACTTATTTTTGACTTTTTATAATGTTATTGTTTGGTTTTATGTGCTTCTGTTGTTGTAAACCGCTATATTTTAATGATGTTGTTGTTTAGGCGTTTAGTTGTGTCCGACTCTTAGTGACCTTATGGACCAGAGCACGCCAGGCACTCCTATCTTCCACTGCCTCCCGCAGTTTGGTCAAACTCATGTTCACAGCCATCTCGTCCTCTGTCGTCCCCTTCTCCTTGTGCCCTCCATCTTTCCCAACATCAGGGTCTTTTCCAGGGAGTCTTCTCTTCTCCTGAGGTGGCCAAAGTATTGGAGCACTCAGGGCTGATTTCCTTCAGAATGGAGAGGTTTGATCTTCTTGCAGTCCATGGGACTCTCAAGAGTCTCCTCCAGCACCATAATTCAAAAGCATCATTTCTTCGGCAATCAGCCTTCTTTATGGTCCAGCTCTCACTCCCATACACCACTACTGGGAAAACCATAGCTTTAACTATATGGACCTTTGTCGGCAAGGTGATGTCTCTGCTTTTTAAGATGCTATCTAGGTTTGTCATTGCTTTTCCCCAAAGAAACAGGCGTCTTTTAATTTTGTGACTGCTGTCACCATCTGCAGTGATCATGGAACCCAAGAAAGTAAAATCTCTCACTGCCTCCATTACTTCCCCTTCTATTTGCCAGGAGGTGATGGGACCAGTGGCCATGATCTTAGTTTTTATGATGTTGCGCTTCAGACCATATTTTGTGCTCTCCTCTTTCACCCTCATTAAAAGGTTCTTTAATTCCTCCTCACTTTCTGCTATCAAGGTTGTGTCATCTGCATATCTGAGGTTGTTGATATTTCTTCCGGCAATCTTAATTCTGTCTTGGGATTCATCCAGCCCAGCCTTTCGCATTATGAATTCTGCGTATAAGTTAAATAAACAGGGAGACAATATACAGCCTTGTTGTACTCATTTCCCAATTTTGAACCAATCAGTTGTTCCGTATTCAGTTCTAACTGTAGCTTATTGTCGCACATAGAGATTTCTCAGGAGACAGATGAGGTGATCAGGCACTCCCATTTCTTTAAGAACTTGCCATAGTTTGCTGTGGTCGACACAGTCAAAGGCTTTTGCGTAGTCAGTGAAGCAGAAGTAGATGTTTTTCTGGAACTCTCTAGCTTTCTCCATAATCCAGCGCATGTTTGCAATTTGGTCTCTGGTTCCTCTGCCCCTTCGAAATCCAGCTTGCACTTCTGGGAGTTCTTGGTCCACATACTGCTTGAGCCTTCCTTGTAGAATTTTAAGCATAACCTTGCTAACGTGTGAAATGAGTTCAATCGTGCGGTAGTTAGAGCATTCCTTAATGATACTGCAGTATATAAATTTTGTTTCTATAAATTAAAAAAAAATGGCTAAAGCTTGGAAGGCCTTTGCTTTCTGCCATTGCAGAGAATCTGAAGTTTTCCTGTACAGTATTACTTAATTTGTATCTAGCTCCAACTTCCATGGGAGAGTGGATAACTTGTTTCCATAAATGTTTTGAAATGCCACAGTTTCTGAACTTCTCTGCGAAGGCTGAACAATTTGACGGAAGCAAAGACAAACCAGCTCAAAGAGCTGAACGGTTAATGCACATGTCCCCACTTTTCGCTTTAAGAAACAGAAGCAAAAATTGTTTTCCACTTATATAGTGGTTCCCATCCAAGAGAACCATCAGGTCTGCAGCTGCTGAGCTGTACCAATAATGTACCAATAATTCACCCAGATTGCCCACTGGCCCAAAGATACTCTTTATTGAGCATTCGTCTTGATTGACTTTCAAGGAGATGGTTGGCGATTTAGTTCAGATTTAAATAGTGTGGCGTCAAAGCAAATGTTCTCCCACCCTTTCCAGGGCATTTCCCTATCACTCTCCTTATTGCAAAAGGTCCGTTATTTGGGGGTTGTTTTTTTTTGGGGGGGAGTGCACATTTATTGCACAAGACTTCTAACCAACTATATCCGTGCAACCTGAATTTGTGACTGAACCCCATCCGAAAACTGAGACAGTGCCCACTTTGTCCTGCTTTCCCCTCACTGTTCCGATGGCAACATAAGAGAGGAAAAATAAACAGAATCGAATAGAATTGTTGAACTGGAAGGGACCGCAGGGGTCATCTAGTCCAACCCCCTGCAATGCAGGAATTTTTTCCCAAATGCAGGGATCGAACTCACAGCCCTGAGATTAAGAGTCTCATGCTCTACTGACTGAGCTATCCCTGATGGAATGTGGAGGCATAGTTTTGCCTTTGAACTCATTTACAATTTAAGCAACTAAAAATATTCCAACATAATTGCCAACAAACCTAAGGTAAGACCTTATTCTCCATAATGCTTTTGCAGTACAAATCAGAAACCCCCATAGCTAGTCAAGAACTACTTTGAACTGAAGTACAGCATGCTTTTTCCTGAAGGGGACCTCTTGTTTTTGCTATTCCTTGGGGTGCTGGGAGCGAGACGGTGGGCCTATGCTCCAAACTGGAACAGAAGCAATTTTAAAAATAATAAGCCTAGCGCTTGATTTAGTGACTGCCTTGGCAGGGAAATGGTTGTGTCAGAAGAGATAGTACTCAAAGCTGCCTTTAACTCTGTAAGATTTGCATGGTTTCTTGGTACGAATAAGACTAACAAACAGGGAAGGGGGACTGGAATTAAATTCAGCATAACAACCCCCCACCAGACTAAAAAAATAATTATCCATATAATAAGAATCTTAAAAATATTCACCGAATGGGAAGCATATCATATTCACTGCCTCCTGCAGCAGCAAAATTGCAAGTTTAGACTTTGGAGTCTTAGGAAACTTTGTTTTGCCTCATTAACCGTGCGACTTTGGAGTTTGCTCCTACCCTGTAGAGGAACATATGGGTATTTGTCTGGGTCTTAACACTGAGTACACTCACTGCTATTTACACTAGTATTAGAGCTCATGGTGGCTTATGTCAAGGTGCAGAATAATATAGATTTTAAAAGGGCCACGTTGTATTTGGACACAAGAATGGGTGGAGGGAGAAGGCAGGAGAAACCTTCCTGTATACTGAAAATGTTGGTGTTCAAAAAGAAAGAAAGGGAAAGTTTGCCTCCTCCGAAACAGGAGTCAAATCCACAACATACATTGAAAGCACATTCCGTGTGCATTCCTTCTCCTCAAAGAATCAAGGGAACTGTCATTTGTGCTGAGCAGGATCCTAGGATTCTTTGGGGTAAACCATGACCGCAAAAGTAAAGCAGGCATCTTCAACCTTCTAAGACCCAGGACCCACTTTTAACCGAAATATACAATTGAGATCCGCTTCTTAACCTTTAACCCTACATTTGCACAGTGGCAGAGTTCCTGCTGTCACCCAGATTGGATCAGGCCGCAACACACTAGTAGCTTCTCCTGAGCCACCAGTTTATTATAAGAAAAGCTGCTCCCTTTCCCTTATGGGGTATTCCGGAGCCTGTATAGAGTCCTTAAGTAGGTTCCCTATTGGCAGGAGAAAGTAATAGAGGCCAACCAGAGTATATTGAGAAGCAAAGCAGCTAGTAAGCCTGATCTTTATCCAATGAACTGTTGCAACAGGGTCCCCACTCACCACACACAGCAGGGAGGAGAGAACCCTGAACAATGGTGTGAAAGCCCTTATATAGACTTTTGAAATTGCCCGCCCTGTAGCCCAAGGCTACCCCCGAAAACATCATACATACATCACAGAAGGAGGTGGCCTACAGCAGAAATCCTGTTTGCCAGGATGCCTGATAATGGTCACTGATTGCATTACCCGGGCAGCCTGGCCATTCTTATTACTTAGTTCCTGAGTCCAGGTCACAAGCTCACCCTATTCATACACAAACACGCCCTTAAGACAGGATTTGCAAGCAAAAAGACAATAGGAAGGCTTTCCCCATTTGCCCCACTTACTGCAGAGGAATATCTGAGGTCATTGGGAGAGTCAAAATGGCTTCAGGATTGCTCTCCCATGCTATTTCAGACACATGGTTCATATATTTAGGTCTGTGTGCACTTATGAGCATTTATTCCATATTTGAGACCTTAAAATTCTTATAACAAGTTGAAGACCAGCGCTTTAAAGGCGGTGTGCATGGGACCTTGATCCATCCATAAGCATTTTGAGGGATGTGAAATGGCAGCTGAGAACAGTCCCTGCGTGCAAAAAGAGCTGGGATGTGAAGCTGCGGTGAATGCTTACTTCGCATGCCAGCGGCATCCCTAAAATGCTTACAGATGGATCAAGGTAGGTTGGTAGGTTGGCAGGTTAGCTTGCAAGCAAAGGGAGTCAACTGCAGAAATCCTGACCTATGCAAACCAAGTGTTTGAGAAGCAAGCAAACAAAATGTCTTAAAGTGTGTGTGTGTGTGTGTGTTTAGGGGCTTAGAAAATCAGAATGCTTCGTGCCCATACTCCTGGACATGCCGAGAAGGATAAACTGAATTTGAGAGTTACAGGAATGTGGAAGGGAAGGAAAAACACGAGAAACAAAAATGCTGGAAGCAGTGTAGGAACTGCAAGTTTTTTAAAAATAAAAATATGCAAGTTGTGAAAGCTGGGGGTGCTGGTAACTATTGGGCTCAGAGCAGCTGGCATGAAGAGCGGATTTCGCTATTTTCTTCCCTGCTTTGATCGCGAGGAAATCCCACCCCCAAAAGCTGGTTTGTGCATTGGGAGGAAATGCTGCTTTGGTTTGGCACCAAAAGAAGGGCCAAGGCTCAGGGGCAAAACACATCAGGTTCAGTATTCTGATCTATATCCCTTTGAAACCCTAATGAGCCGCTGCTAGGGATTGTGGGATATTCACCTAAGTCAGTCAGGGATGTGATTTGGTATAAGACAGCTTCCTGCACTCCCGAAAGATGGAGGGAAGTGTACTAAAAAATTACAGTGGGAATTTGAGGAGATGGAAAATTGCAACAACGTGTTCTCCATCAAGGAACAGTGCAACTCGAGAAAAATAAACACAGTAAGAATGAGTGCTGAAATACAATGGCAGTGCAACCTTGCTTATTTTGAAGCAAGCTCCACGGATAATAAACAACCAGACTTCAGCATCATTAAAATTGCAACCTGACTGTCCAGAGTTTCCATGCCATGCTGAACTGGGTGTGAGAAGATTGTTAATGGCCATTTCTTTTTCTTTTTTGGGGTAAATGCTTTTTATTAACTTATTATTACAGCACATACACACATGACACTTAGAAAACAAACTACAAAAGAAAACACAAAACAAATGTTGAACATATATCCATAAATCTGCAAGTATCTGCACACGGACTTATGTTAATGGCCATTTCTAGACTGCAAACTCGGTCAAAATATATCTCGTTGTTGCACAAAATCTCAAAAATAACCAAGCAGAATAAATCAAAGAAAGACAAATGCAAAAAAATAAAAATAAAAAATGGCTCATCTAAGGAGGTTATAAAACAATAACTTATTTCCATAAGAAGGCTTGCTGAAATAACCAAATCTTAAGTTGGTGCCTGACACTCATTGCAGATCATGCCAATTTGGTTTCACTAAATCAAGAGATTCGGGGCCACCACACTAAATGCACAATTTCTTGTTGAAGATAGTCTTAACAGTGCCAGGCTCCGTCAGACATGCCACAGTGGCGGATCACAAAGACTGGGCAGGGGTGTAAGGAATAAGGTGATCTTTTAAGTAAATGTTAACTCTCTATGCTAACAGTAGGACTATGAAGACAGACCAGTAGCATACAAAGGTGCTTTGTGTTGTCAGTGGCTAATGTCTGACAACACCCGTTCTGCAGAATTCTGTTCAAGGGCAGCCCCACATGGAGTCCATTGCAGCCATCTATTCTCAAGGATACTAGTAGTTGAACCACCCTAGACGAACTATCATGATCCAAGAACCGTGCAGCTGGCAAATGAGCTGCAACCGTGTTTAGCAGTGTCCGCATTATTCCGAGCATTGTCAGCAATTTTAGCAATTTTTGTAAATGTCTTTAGCAGATAGAATTTATGCTCTGCATCTTACATCCCAGACTCTGCCCATGTATGACTGCTTCTGTCTGTGCTTACGAAGGAAAAATTCAGCAGAACCATTTTACGGATGTGCTTCCTTTTTTGTCTGAACTGCCTGGCCTTTTAATGAAGACTTTCTTATAACTGTAAGCAAACCCTTTGTCCTTTGCCAATTCTGAGCTGAAGGAGTTAAATGAAAACATGTCTAATCTCTTTATCCTTGTCACACCACTCTGCTATGCAGTAATACACCAAAGAATTTTTCAGAAAGCAAAGGTTGGGGACATGGAATTGCTCTCTCTGTGGCTAAGGGGAGAAAGAAAATATGGAACAAACTCCTGTCTAATTTCAGTGTTACCTAGTGAAGTATTTTAGGCTTACAGGGTTAGGCAGGGAGGGAGGCCAGCGTCTCAAAAACATCAGCAACTGATGGCTGATTCTGTATTGTCCATTTTTAAAAGACAGAACTGCGAGACAATTTAGGAGAACTGGTAACAGCTTCTTGCAAATCCTTGGCATGGTAGTAAACCTCTGCAAACAGCAGCTGAACGGCTGCAAACGTGCAGAATGAGTTAATTGGGCAGGGCTTTTCAATTTCCTTATGCAATACCTGCAGAGACACAGTGACACGTAGCACAGAAATTTTGCTTTCAATATATGTTTGTTCCTGCTTTCCGCAGGTAAATTCTCAGGTGTGTCAATGGCACTCAAATCCGGCCCGGGTTTTATTCTGGAACAAGGGTGGCTAACAACAATTTCATGTGGGCGGCCCTGCCAAATGATAAGTCAGAGTTTGGTGGTAAAAACGCCTTATGATTTCACCTGTGGCAGAGCGCATGTGCGTGAAACCTGTGAAGATCTTACTGCAAGGTGGAACCTGTTTGTTCTGGAGCATGATCCCTTTGGACCATGATGCGGGTGGTGATGCGGTCTAAACCACTGAGCCTCTTGGGCTTGCCGATCAGAAGGTTGGTGGTTCGAATCCCTGCGACGGGGTGAGCTCCTGTTGCTTTGCCCCAGCTTCTGCCAACCAAGCAGTTCAAAAGCATACCAGTGTGAGTAGATAAATAGGTACCACTGTGGCAGGAAGGTAAACAGCATTTCCGTGCGCTCTGGTTTCCGTCATGGTGTCCCGTTGCACCAGAAGCGGTTTAGTCAAGCTGGCCACATGACCTGGAAAGCTGTCTGCAGACAAACACTGGCTCCCTCAACCTGAAAAGTGAGATGAGCATTGCACCCCATAGTTACCTTTTACTGGACTTAACCATCCAGGGGTCCCTTTTTATCTGCTCCAAACATGTGAAGCTCTTACTGCAAGGTGGCATGTTTGTTCTGCAGCATGACCACTCATGCACTGAGTAAAATGTGGTTTTTACTCCCTGGAGAATAGTGGCCACAGAAATTGATCACCCCTTGTCCTATAATTCAGTCCACTCTACAGCACCAATAATAGCGAATGCAGGTATTGAGCATTGGCAGAATTGCAACCAGAATGAGGCAAAGAGCATGCTCAAGACTTACCAAAGTACAACATGTGGGGCTTACTCCACCCCAAAACCAGTCCATGCACAATAGCAACAGAATATTGAGTGCCAGTTATGGGGGAAATAGGGGAAGGTGCGGAAGGGTGAGTGGACAACAGAATCTCAGAGGATGGAATGGATGGCAGGAAGCCTGGACAAGGCAGGATAGGATACACAGATGAATTTTTTTGCAAGCTCCATTTCCCCACTCTTAATTCAGAGTTCTGGAAACTCTGTCCCTGTAAGAGAAGTTTTTTCATTAAAGTGTGAAACAAGAGGGTGTG